TCCCCCTTCGCCCATATCGATAATTTTATCGTTTATCGCTATTTAAAATTAGAAATGCCCTACAGTAGAGAATTTCAGGTGTACGAACATATGTAGGTACAGTTCAGCAGATTTTATTATTCAGATGTTTGCATTGCATTCCCTTTAAGGACCTGTTTTCCTCTGTCATCCTCAATGTAAGCTCTCAAAACAACAGCGACATATAGTATGTAAGAGATATGTTTATGTACGTGTATTTGCCCAACTCATATTGAAGTTAACTGAAAGTTGTTATCTTCTTATGAACTATTCCCATCACCATAAAATCCAATCGTTTGACTGCCCTTCGACCTGGCACATTTCATTCCACAATGCCTTTTTTTTTGGCTCTCGTTCGGTGTGCGTGCTTCGTGCGTTGTTGTCCTTGAGGAGGCTCAACTTAAAGCAAGTCAAGCCGAAAGAATCTGCCAAATCATAGGCCATTTCAATTTAAATGTGCCCAAAAATATCTACGCCCCAGCGCGACCGAAACCAACATCAACACTAGCCGGCACCTTCTCCATTATCCTCCTTCCGTTTCCTGTTTGGGAGGGAGCAATTCCATGCTTAATGTGCTTCCTGTTGACGAGGCCGTATCGTGGACTTTGCTTGTGGACACTCTCTCCCACAAATTCCCTGTGACTCGTTCCCTGGTCTCGTATTTGTCCTGTTGTCTTCGAGTGACAGTTCCAACACGCAACTGAGGCGATTTAGGGGTTTTCCGACTTTGCAGTGTCCTCTTCTACTTCTTTTTCCATCAGAGCAAATATTGATTATTATTATTGCTGCTGCTCTTGTTGGTCAGGGCTTTCCGCGGATTTGGTGGAGAGCTTAGACTGCCCTTTGCTGGCCCTTTGGCCATTGACCCTGTTCAAAAGGCAATCCCATGACACTGCTTCCCAAATGAGGCGGCAATTTTTCCTCACTTTGTGGCTTCTTCTACTTAGACGTTAATTTGTTGATAAATTGCGACAGCTCAAAAAATGACAACATTGTCTCCTCTAAAGGTTAAATATTCCGACTAACAAGAGCCCCCGTCCCAGCCCCATCCTTTGTTGGTCAGGTTTTATGATTGTATTAAATTTGTCATACTGATAATCTCAGAAAAAGTTAATTAATTTCACTTGGACTGTAGATAGACACGAAATGGAATCAGATTAGGAGTGTCACACATTCGTTTGAAGAGAATATTCTGGCACAAATTTGGGCTGGCATGTTTATTAGTTGATGCGGAGATTGTCCAGCCTGTAGTCATACAAAGTTGAGGAAAGAATAAGGAATTAAAGAAATTAAAGTTAAATGTTGGCATAGTGGGGTTTCTGTTAAATAACTTTACAGACTGCATAAACTCCATTTACTTCCTTTCTCAATAAGTTTTTACTTCATCCCACTGTCATTTTCCCTATTAGCATCAGGGATGCATTGCCCGATGCCAATTTCCATAAAGAAAATATCGAAACAATATATATTCATATGCATTCACTTACAAGCACTTAAAACTGGCTCCAACAAAAAATTGCAGCATTCATTTTTTATGAAAACTGCTCTTTGTTTTTTCTGTATTGTTTGGGTTTGGGTTGTTTTTTTTCGGAAACTTTTTCTCGGACATTCCCCATATTTGTTTTGCGGACACGCTTCATAAAAAAAATCGCCCCGATTTATCAATTGCCAAAAAGGAATGGAAGAGAAGTCGGAACTACGCTGAGCTGTTGACAGGCGATGGGCATTGGGGGGATTGTATTCTTTATGCAAAGAAATGGGAACCGAGTCAAGTACTTTCGGCCAAAGGTGACTGCAAAATGTTTTGCAATACATAAATCACAAAAAGATAGGAAGCTACGAGTATACTTCATTGCTTTCGTATATCGTAGCCCTCGATAAGCCTTTTCAGCATGTCAAACTGCCAGGAAACATTCTCGCAGTTATTCGATTTTTTTAGTAATTCAAGCCGCAAATTCATTCCAATATTGAAAAGATTTCTTTGAAAATTAATCATCCATACACTTTATTCATTACACATATGTATATAGTTTAGTTTTAATATTTTAGATTTAGCATAATTTAAAATATTCACACTGGATGTGAATATTCCGAAAATAGACTGCAAAGTACCAGGATATTTGTTTGAAAGCAAAATAGATCAGATCATAATATATATACTGGACAGAATTGCCAGCATAGCCATCTATAGTACACACGGGTAAGGACAGCAGTGGCTGTCCGCTGTCAGAACAAGTCACCGCGTGGTTGAACCTTCTCGTGCTATACAATGTAGACGGCTATGCTATGAAGAGTCGTGTTGCTATTTCATCTACGATTCATCTCAACGATTTGCCCCTTTTCACGCTCAAATTTAAATTAAATTAAAGATATTATGTCTCGTAGCTTTAATATCAGGGTTTGTTTTTGTAAATTGGCACATTTTCACTTGCCTGAAAACACTTTTAAGCCATGAACCTTATTTGGTCATGCAAAATTTATTATAATTTCCAAAACAGAAGTGTTATTTATCCCCCCATTGCATTTTCTTTGGGCCAATAAAATGTTGATGAATTATTGGTAAAGTGTGCGCGGCTTCTGCATTTGACAGGGCTTCCACTGCTAATGAATAGTTTATTATCCTCCATGAATGGTGGAGATTCATGGAAAAAATCACAATGAGTGGCACTCCCTTGAGGTTATTTGTCAAGCCATGGGTGGTAGAGTCTGAGGTGAGTTACATTATATAATTTTCACAGCTTCTCAGTAACGATATTATTATTCAATTGAGTTCCGTGAGGCAGTCATTCAGTAATTTTCCTAAAGAAATGCATAATTGTGAGGAAAACGCTGCACAATTTGGATTGAAGTACTTTAATCAACAAAAAGTGCACAAAGGAAATATCCTTACAAGGTCATTGCACACACAAACACACTTACACTGTCCACTTGCCCTCGCCCAACTGATTTAGTATGTGTAAATATTTTGCTCTCCAAAGGCCCCCTTCAGCATGAACGGCTCCTTGCTGTAGTTATAGTCGTTATCCTGTTTGTGTGCATGGTCAGGAGGACTCTTGTTACAAGGACAGCCGAGCAGAGCTTTCTTCTACACGCTGCTTCTAATGTCCCGCATCCCGCACTCGCACTTACACAAACACATGCACATACACAATCACTTTCACACACTCAATCTCATACGCCATTTGCTGCAACTTCCGCTTCCGTTCGGGTTGGTCGAGTTCAATGGGGGCAGCAGGGACTCGGACTGCGGCACTCAGCATGGCAGGCTCTTGGAAATTTACGAGTCCTTTGGTCCTCTGTTGCATTCCTCAAATTACCGACACGCATATTTTATATTGGGCCTGCATTAAGGTCCAGATCGCTCTCTCCCCCTCAACGAGCATATCTATTGCGCGCCCTTCCGCCACTGCTATCGCGTGCACTTTGTGGCGCTTTTAATTAACGGAAATTTATGCATAATGCTCTCGACCGCCATTCCTTTCGGTGTCCCTTCCCATTCAGGGCTTGAAGTTATGAGCCGTCAGCGAAATGCGAAAATTTGCAAATGAAAAGGAGAGAGTCCAGCCAGCTCTGTTGAAAAACATTTAATTTAGTGAAGATTTATTCAGCACGTTAAAATGAATAAATCCTTCACGGCTATAAATGACCAATAATTACCTAAAAGTGTTAAATAATAAAGTGACATCATCTGCTAATTGAAATGAATGTCCCCCACACAATGTTCCGATAATTACAAAAACCAAAAACACTCTCAACATACATTTTGTGCGTCAACTTTCCATGTTCTGACCACAAAAAATCAACATTAAATTCCGAACATTTCAAACTAAATGCTTTTCAATTAACAGGAGACAGTTTTTTGACTTTTTGACAATTTACACGTCTTCTGTGGTATTTTGTGGTGGGAGGGAAGGGAAGTTTTGTGACCTCTGGCATGACATAACGAAATGAAGCGGAAAAAATTCTACGAAATGTTTCCAGCGGCTGGCAATAACAACTACATACATACATACACATGTACCTACTTACTCGCACAAATAAATCGTCCAACAATCACACAATTTTCTATTTTTCACATAAGCCGCTTTAAAAAGACTAAAAATAAAAGAAACTTTTCCGTTATATATCCCTCCCAGGTCCATAAAACTTTCTTTTGTAGCCAGCATCCAGCAGCAGATGTATTAAATGTTGCGAAAAGCGGGATGGGCAGAGTCCAGGAGTCCAGGAGGCCAGGAGCCTTGGAAGCAACAGGTGTTTATGGCCACTCAATGAATGCCGGCGTAAATCTTGCATTTACCATTCCTCCTCGCCTCCCCAAAGTACTTTGGGAACATCCACGAGCTGTAGCCAGGAGCAGCAGCATCATTATCAGTAGTCGTGCCAGAAAGGAAAACATATTCAGTGGCGGGGTAGCAGTGCGCCGTCTCAGCAACATGTGACTGTGAGGCTCGAATTTGGGGCTTACTTCTAGGAAATTTATCGGGGATTAACTGATGCTAAAGTTTAGACTTAAATTAAATATTTGGAAAAAAACACAACGGAAAAATACTTCAGATTTGGTTTATTTGAGCTTTTTTTCACTTACAGTACCGAAGACTAGTTCTGCGCCACAGGAGAAGATATACAGCCGGTCACCACAGATATAGGCGTTAGATTTCATCCTATGGGCATTAAATATGTTAATTATGTTAGTTGTTTCTGAAGTCAAGACACAAAATCAGCTTTTTAATGGGGCATAACCTTGATTGAATCCACTGACATACGCATATCCCTATGCATTTTGAAGGAACACCTATGCAAGCCCAAAGCCAGTAGGAATCCAAAGGAGGGGAAGCCCACAGTGCAACCCCAAGCGATTGGCAACAGTGCTCGTGCTCGTGTGGCTGGCAACAAGCGTCCGATGTTGCTGTGCTGCTGCTCGGCTGCCGCTGTCTGGAGGCTCCTCCGAAAACACTTTCGGTTCAATACGCTTTGTGCGTTCGACGCGTGCGGTTCGCTCTGACGGAAAACTCGAATGAAACACCTGGAAAGCCAAAGCAGATTCGAGCCAACGGATAACTTGACTTCGATTCTGAGGTGCCACAAAAGTTTTGTAGGCGCGTGAACTCGTTACGCATAAATTACGTTACTGCAGCACGCTGACCGCGTTTCTTAACGGACCCACCAGCAGTACCAGCAACAGCAGCGATTTGTGGCAAGGAGTCGACAATATTGTTGCCGCTTTCCCCTCGGACCTGTGGCAGTTGCTGGCGCTGCTGCTGTTTCGGTGTGTTTTATTGGCGTTAAAGGTCGTTTACTTTTTGGCGGCATCAACAACTTTTGTTGCTGCTTTGATTTTCATCTCCCCTGTGTCTTTGTATACATCTGTGACTGTGTCTGTGGCTGTGCCTGTGCCTACACCGCGGTGTGTGTGTCACTCTCGCTCTCGATGCACCAAAGTGCGAGTGTGTGTCCGTTTATAACACACTTTCAATTTTCAATAAAACAAAAATCAACACAAGCCAAAGCCCCAACAAAATAATATAAAAATCGCACGCTGATCGATGACGTCGAGTTGAGATTTGACGCTGCTCGTGACGCTTTTGTGCCTAGAATTTCACGATCATGATAGCACACATAAGATTTAATACATACTCGATTCTCGTGGTATTCGAATTGCTTGTGACACGCGTTTCAGTGAAATGTGGAAATTGTGTCAACTGAATATTTAATGCCGTATGATCGGGAATAATGTCAAACTTGAATTAAATAATAGGCATAGTGAATTATACAAGGAAGATCTCGGTTCGAAACTAATTGATTGATCAAATTTAAAAAAGATTAAAAATATAAAAAGCACAAGCCGAAATAAGGAACAAAAGTAGCTACAAAATGAATGCCAATATCATCCTGATTATTAATACATCGCTTGACTAACATTCGACTAATAGAGTAAATCTATGACAAATATAAAAATAATGGAAGATAACTAAATAAATGAGAACAATTTGAAAATAAACTTATTAAATGGCTTAAGTATTTGAATATTTAAATTAGGTTTAGGAAATTCTCATATTTTAAAGCTTTAACAAAACTTGTCTCTTGACAACTTGGAGAAATTAGAAATATAGAACCTGGGACGAATTAAAAATTCTGTTAAGTCGTGCGAATACAAGAACGTAACAACACAAAGACTCCATTTGAAAAGCGACGATTTATTTGGTCCCCATGCACCGCTTATATCCAGTTAAATGTCTTCAGAGTAAATTTCCCAAGGCAAGCATAATGCATGGGAATACGACTACGGTTATCTGAAGTCAGATTTCGTTTAGCCAAAAGAAACACGAAAAAAAACCACAAAAAGTGTCAATGCACTGCCAGACCGAGAGCCATCAAAATCGTTGGCATCAACCTAGAGAGCTCGCCCCGAGTGCAATTGTTAATTATGTATGCCAATCTGGTAGCCAGAAATACTCATAACACTTTAGCGCTAAAGATACCCGCAGACATAAGAAATCTCATGCATTTCATTAACTGTGACAAAAGGAAAAAACTTGCGAGTATGCGTATAGTAGTCGCCACCCACTGACCAGTGACTACTGACCACTCTGTGCACAAAGTGTTGACGCGTGTTCGGGTTTCCATTTAGGCTTTGGAGACAGCTCCAGCGAAACACGAAAATTCCCCACGATTCGGATTCCCACCCGGCTTGAATATTTAATCAGAGCCTCGCAGACCTCTCGATGATGCAGACCGCATCAGTCTCAACTTAATTTGTAATCCATCAGCAGCCCCAGGGATGAGCAGCCGGAGCGTAACCTTTTTCTTTTAATTTACGAGCTCCAAGTTTCGAAAGATACCGAAGGAGAGAAGAAGGGTTGCTCGAGGCGTCATCAATTTTGGCAAATGTTCTTTCTCAGGCCGCAGCCAAGACCCGGCAAATTGCAGCTAATTGAAAAGTGTATGCTCAACAAATGGAAAAACCAAAGCCTAAGTGCATTTCCAAGGCGAGCCGGGGCAAGTTAACGAACTACTTGCGGGGGGAGCGGGTACTCAGAGCAGTGAGCGGTTTTCTATTGATGACGACAGTTTATAAAAATTACGCATGAACAAACTAATTTTCATTATGAAAAGCGTCAAAGAGACAACAGCAACAACGCTGCAACGACAGATTGAAGTGGCATGAATGCCGCCGTATATGCACTCCGATTGCAGAATACTCTTTCAATTTTGCCTTACAAATATTATATCTGCGGCATTATTGTATAAATCATGAGCGTAATCTATGGCTGCAGCTTTCCTGTGTCATTTGAATATTCGTGGTTTCAAGCTGTCATTGGGGTATCTATTTAGCAATTCTCTTTTTGCTACTGCACCACCCCATCAACGGGATAGAGTATTTTGCAAGCAAACAAGTCTGGCGAGTGCAGCCGCAATTTGGTAGCGCAAAAATAAACATTTTCATTTAAAATGTTATATTTATTGAATGGCGACATCTCTTCTGATATGATAACTCAAGGCGTAGGCGTGGGCTCCATCTGTTGTTGGTCGTCGTCGGCGTCGTCGTCGGCGGAAATTGTTTCGCAGTGGGAAAACGCAATTGACACGATTCCCCAAATATGTGCCACAATATATATACATATGTACATATGTATGTATGTGTGTGGATACTCGTTCACTCATTTACGCTCATTATACGAGCATATGGATGTGTGGGTCTTTGCTTGGTGTTAATCAAAAGAGCTGTGCAAGTTTTTTAATGATGTTGCCACTTTGGTGTAATTAGGTAAATGGCACCGGAGCTGGAGCGGGAGCGGGAACGGGAACGGAGGTTGAGACTGAGAAGGAACGATAGGGCAGAAGATGCCAACAAAATCGTTCAAGTTGAAAGGAAAACTTTTGCCCTAATGCAATTTGCGCATTTGCCACAAATGGAAAATTTTCTACTTGGCTTGGAGTAGCTCCATTGGCAGGACCATCTTCCGGCACCTCCATTAAGGTGAAAGAATGGCATTTTCTTTTTGTTGACTCTAAATGAGGTTTGAGTTTCTTTATTCCTTCAAGAGTGGGTGTTAATCGATTAATTAAAGGGATCTCTGGCCGCCTCAAAGGGCAAAGGCTGTTCTTCCTCCTTCAGAGAGTGCAATAAGTGTCAGCTTCAGTGGAGGGCCGCCGAGCAGCAATCCACAGACCACAAAACCCAGTCAGCAATTACAACGCCAAAGGGAGGGGATCTGCTCTATTCTAGTGGCCTGCCACTGACATCTTCACCCACCCATTCAGGCGTTACCAATTTGGGAACCATAAAACCGTCTGCAACGAAAAAGAAACAAACAAATTTTTGGCTCTGGCCCTGTGTTGTGCTCGTGCTCGTGCTGGTGCTCGTATTGTTGTCTTGTCTGGTGCAGCGGTCCGAGTTGACAGGGTTCGGCGGGTCGGATGCGTAATCAATTGTTGCAGCTGTGTCACGTCTCTGGGAGATAGCCAGAACTATCTCCGAATCGAATCCCTCCTACAGTGACAATCTACTTAATCGAGTTTCGCACACATTTTCAGGTCAGTTGCCAGTTGGCAGCCGCCTTTGTGTTCGATGCTCTATTGATTTCCAGCCAAAAAATGGATTGCACGAGTATTGTAACAATAATAAACAAAACTCCATATCCATTTGCCGAAATGGATTGCTTACATGTTCGTAAATTAGTCGAAAAAAGGAGAAAAGAATCAACAACATTCAAGCATTAATTACACATTTGGGAATCTCCAAGAAAGCATCTCAAAACGACTCCAGGCACATCTCAGTCGTCAGACAATTGACCCAAACTGCCAATAAAATTGAGTAGCATGAAATGTAAATAAGAAGCCTTCTTTCCTTCTGGCTAATAGCTCGATTATGATGGCGATGACGCTGCCAATTCGCCATCTGAGGAGAATGTAACGAGAAAGCCATAAAATAAACAGTTGAATAATCTCCAATAATGAGAGCTGTTCCCATCTCGCCCTCGGGCCATCTTCAAGCCACACGAAATCGATTCGACAGCAATCCAGCAATAATAATACATGTAAGATTCTTAACAATGGGCCAACAAAAGGAGAATTCAAAGATCAAAGCGATCAGAAGTGCCCCGATCACTGGGATCGTTGGGCTATGGCCAAGACATATACATACATACAGACATACATATACGAGCATAAACGGTTCGGAGGTGTGAACTTTCGTGTGGCCTTTGCTTTGATTGAAGTAAACCCAAACTGATAATTGTTTGGCAGCTCCAAAAATAGATTCTACATTTTTGCATTCATAATTAAATATATACATAGGCAATGGGTGAAAATTCAAGAATTTTATTCATAATATATGCATTGCAAAGAATAAACACAAATCAAAAAAATTCCTGCCTACCGAAAATAAGTTCAGTGAGAAATTATTTAATACTATTTAAAAAAAAAAAATCAAAAATCAATTACTGGCAACAAAGACTTAAGCTCTGTTTTACATTCTTTAAGTGCTCCACCCTATTTAATTCTATTATCGCCGTCGGAAACTTTTCTCCTTTGATGATATACAAGAAAATTGATTTTCTCCTTAAACAGAAATCACATTTAATTATTTTGCTCTTAAAACAGTTTTGAGCGCGCCAAAAAATTAAATAAATTATGCAACAACTGTCATTAATAAAGTCGAGCGCAAAAAAAACCCAAAATGAATACGAACGCAACAAAAAACGAAAATATCCCACAATGAATCAAGGTCAGCATAAGGCAGCATAACTGCAGCGGCAGCGGCAGCGACAGCGACAGCTCGGCAACAAATTAAAGTTGCATTTTGTGTTGAAAATCCAGTTTTGTATTTGGTGAGCTGCACTTGAAAAAAAATCGCAAACAATCCAAAATGTAAAAATAAAAAAACCAAATACAAAAAAAAAACATACTGAAATTGACGTGCGAGTAGCTGCTGTGGTTGTGCGTTGATTTCTTTTACATATCAAGTGAGCCGAAATCGATTCAATCAAGCCACACAAGTTTGCATTTCGAGTCGAGAGCTGGCTGGATTCTTTTCTGGGGGAAATATAAATTCACTTCATGTCAAAATCAATTTTCAGCTTTGATTAAACTTTGCCAGATCGGGTTTCATATTTTTCATATTTTCCACGGACACACACTCGGCGTGTTTTTTTGGGGCGTGTCAGTGTCTGCGCTCTTGTAATTAATCGCTGCGAATGCAAAAATTTATGAGATTTCCATGAGTTTTTGAAGCCTTTTGTGAAGCTTCGGAGCACCGGGGAGGGCATGTGGGCTGACCGCGGTTTGGCATTGAAGTGCGTGGAAGTCCAAAAAGCACACACGTGCAAACGACCATATATCAATTAAAGTCACAGTCACAACAAAATCGTGGGACAATTAACTCGCTAAAACACCCGTGCCCGACTTCGATTATTGGCTCGGCAATCGTTCTACTGTGAAAATTTGCATGGCTCAGCCGAGCTGGCGATAAGGCGCTTTAGCGATTATTTGATAAACGAGATTGAGATTGATCTGTCAAAATATCCAGCCAATGTCAACTAATCAATTGAGCAGCTAACATCGCAATAATTAGTTCATTTAGGCCTGTCAAAGTTGCTCAGAAATTTAATTTTGCTGTTTTCTGTCTCCAGTGTACCAGAGCATAACGTCATGTTATGCGAAATTGAAATAAATTTATACATATTTTGGGAAATTTGGGAGTATATCAAATACTGAATTATCTATAAAGGGGTAAATAATAATCACGTCTAATCACGTCTGTTCCAGATAATTTAAGTACATATATTCTTCAATTTTTTCTTGTCGGAAAGCACTTCTGTTGAGCCATTATGAAAATTAAGTTACTTCCAACTATGTATTATCCAATCAGTCAATCCTTTTAGGGAAAGCGTTAACGAATTTATCTAAGATTCACAGCCCGAGGATCTCGTTCTAAAACACTGCAAAACTTTACCCATAGCCCATTACCCATAACCCATAACCCACTTATGCATATTAAGTCGTGAGCAAACAAAATCCTTCACCAGCCACGAGTATTGGCAGAGCAACATGAAGTACTTTAAGCCCGCCTAGATACCGGGCCCCATCCACATCCACCGCCTGTTTGTAGAAACGTTTCCAGCTTGCTGCCAATTTACAGCACAAAACAATCTCCGAAACGTGTGCATGCATTTGGTTTCCTTTCGGTTCTGATTTGGTCTCATACTCTAGTGTTTTATTTTTCGTGGCTATGTTTCACCTATTCATTTTTCTTTTCTTGTTGCTTCACACCAAACTCCGGGTGTAAATATTTGAATTTTCCGATTCGTTTGCATATGGTTTAAAGTTCATGAGGGCCCGGGATGAAAGTTTACCTTTCGCATTTGCTTTGTTGCTAGGGGAAGACGATATTAATAGAACGGAGGGGATAATAATTTCTATATTGGGGAAAGATATTCATACAGAAATATGCATAGTACTTGCTAGAAATTAAGACTTTAATTCTTCCTCGGTACTCCCATTATATCTCTTAGTTTACACAATAATATTCATCGCCTTGTCGTCAACCTGTTCAAAATCTTTCAAATCGCATAAAAGATACTAAATACCCGAGTGTTTACCATCGATATTCATAGCAAATAACAATTGATGCTTGTTTACAATTAGCAAAGTCGAGAGGAGTGAACGAATTATTGGTCATGAATGGAAATGGGCAAATCCATAAAATACTCCCCAGATTCGATTATTCTCAATTGAAATCCCCCCATGTCATCGTTTGCTGTATATTTTGTGCTTCTTTTCGTACCCTTTCAAAGGGTACTATAATTTATATTTGTAGCTCACTCTCTCTCAGCTTAAACGATTGTTTAATTAAACCTAAATAAAACCTTTACCTCAAAGCTGCAAAAAACATTAATACAAAATCTGAATATTTATAAACATACAAATAGATAAGTTTCGTTACTTATTCTTAAGGTTTCTCACAAGCGTCAAGGGTATATAAAATTCGGCGAGCTAAAGCTGGTCTTCAGACTTTTTTTCTTATGCTTTTTCGGCTCTTTGCCTTATCCACGGGCCACATTTCGGAGGTGGCGAGCTATCCGCTGGGCCGACGTTGTTGTTGTTGGGGGCTGGTTGGTATTGGCGAGGTCAGTGGAACATAAACATGCCATAAATCATCAAGCAGAAGTGTGCGCGAGGTGGGAGCGGAGCCGCTGGCTCGTGCTGCGGATAACGGTGGGAAATCTCTTTTATTTCTGGACATATTTTTGTCCTCCTCATCCTGCGCGACCCATCACCGTGACAGAGCATGGCAGCCAGAATGTGGAGTAAATATTCATTTAGTTGGTTCCCATATAAAAAGCGATTCGTCGACACTTTGTAGCCCATTGCAAATCTAAAACTGTCAACAGACTCATTAATTATGGCCGGGAATAGTGCTGAAAAATGGGCCTGACCAACCGTTCTGCATGGAGCATTCTGTGTCAAATTTGTCATTCATCAGCTCTGAGCTCTGCCTCTGTGTGCGCTGTGAGTGGGCTCCTTCAGTCCTTTTGTTTTTGACAGGAACAAGGCTCTGTGTGCATGGGCCTGGGTCGGTGTAGGGCAGTGTCCAGTCCTCGGCTGATTGGGGAACATTGTTGATATGAAGTGTTTGACGGGTTGTTGGCTAATTTTCTCCTTTATGAGTTCGGATTGAGTTTGGAAAAGTTTCTTTGTGCCGTTGATAAGGGTAATGTGCCGCAAAAGTTTTCGCAGGCCGAACATATTACGTTATTCAGGGCCATCCGTTTTTATATGAGAACTTTTTGGAAGGGTTATGCTATAAAATATAATTACGCATTGGTGAGTAATGTATGATGACGAACTAATGCTAGAACAAACGCCCACAGTGAACAACAGGCGGGACCCAACCTTTTTAGAGATTCGTAGAGTTGACTATAATGTTATATCCAAGATGTTTAAAAGGCAAATAGTTGTAAAGTCTTATGCTAGGCATGCGCTAGTTTTTCCTTATATTTGTATGTTACTCAGGGCCTGTTTGATGGCAAAATACTTCCTCAGCTTTAGTCCCAGATCGATTCACAAACCTAAGAGCAGCCAAATCAGCCTTTGTCTGAAGATAATATAGCCTATACTTATTAGATCATATTGCTGCCATAACGACGATCAGTTTTTGTAAAATTACCCAAGTCGTGTTCTTTTCTGAATACATCACCAAATACGTATTCGGAATGACATGAAATAATTTGCTTATTCTGCCCGCTTAACGAGGATTGATAGTGACGATCAATCACCAACGAATGCACATACATATTTATAAATACATAAGGCGAAACGTGACACTCCATTACCCTCCATTATTCCCTCTCGCAGACAGCATCAATCACGGCCGAGGAAGACCCTGGAACGAGGTGCATCTGCGAAACGTTAGGCAACGTGAAACGCACGAGATCAAAGTGAATCGAAGCGCGAAGCGCGAAGCCAAAGCGGAGAACGCAAGGAAAGTAAAGGGGAACTACGAAGAGAATCCAATAACTGTGCCACAATGCAGCAGAAAGTGAATGCACGGTAAATACGAAAATTAAATAGGAAAAACGCGCGGCAACAGTGCAGCAGAGTGCGAGCGGGAGAGCGAGCGGCGTCGGGCGACGGCAGCCGGGAATCATGAGCGAGAAACGAATCGCACACAAAACTGTCATCAAATGACAAATGCTTGACAGCATCAATCAGCAACTGCGACGACAACAGCGACGGCGACTGAGACGACAGCTATGGCAACGCATTGCCATTGCCGGCGGCGTGGGGAGAGCGTCTGCGCTTGCAGTGGAGACAGTGGCAGTTTGTGGGTGCGCTTGAAGCTCTGCCCTCTGCTGCTACTGCTTCTGCTGCTGCTGCTGATTCTGCTGCCGGCACCAGCGTCGAGCAGCACAATAGCGGCAAAGGTAAACGAGGAAACCAAAGAGAACCGAACTTCTGCCAAGCAAGAAATTCATCGAGGAGAACCACTTAGCGAACAATTTAGCCAAATTACTGTTAACACAACATCAGCCACGCCCACTGCCACGCCCCTGAACACACCCAGCACCGCCACGGCGACGGGTATCAGGGAGAACGTCATGCTGCCCTCGGCAGATCCCGAGCGCGAGGCCCAGATTCTCTACGAGAAGTCCCTGCAGGAGTACCACGGCAGCCAGATGGCCACCGCAGCCGCCGCGGATGCAGGCAGCGGCAGTCCGCAGCAGCGCACGCTGCACTCGATCTGCGAACGGTGGCAGCTCAAGCACTGCCACTGCAGCGGCAGCCTGAAGAGCGTCAAGCTGAGCTGCCGCGGCATCGGCATCCTGGCGGTACCCGTCAACCTGCCCACCGAGGTCTACTTCCTGTGAGTATTACCAAACATGTAGATATCAAAGATTATACATATATTATACATACATAGGAATGAACCACCATCCCAACCAAATCTATGTTTATTTATTCTCATCAGTTCTGCCAACACAACACTTTCGAATCCCCTCGAAACACACATAAGTTGCATCAATTTAATTGCGAATGATACAGAAACAGAAACTTCCTCTTATTGAGCGATTAGGACGGCTTAGAGGCCGAGATATCGAGGCATTGTGCCGCGGCTGGCATTCCTCAATCCGCATAATTACAAGTCAATTTCGCAGTCTTCGGTCCGATTCGGTTTCGGACGATTTTGGCATGCGGTTTAATCTAATTACACATACGCCACGTTGTGCAGCGTTTCGCAATCATCGTCATCGTCATCATCAGCGTCAACGTCAACGCTGTCAGTGCTCACGTATGAGAGTCACGTTTTCTTGCCGCCGACGGGCTCTCTCAAAGGAGTTTGGAGCCGTTTTTGGCCGAGCCAAAGTTTCTGTCCACTGATTAATGGCCAACTCGAACCGTCCATAAATAAATAAGTAAATAGCTTATTAATTAACGCATCGCTCAGGGACCCCGGTCATAAGCCATTTAAATCACTTGCATCCTATGCCCGCGACTCACTTCAACGATGAATCTTCAAAGTTTTGGCTGGGCAAACAGATCGCATCTTTCGCATCGTTCGCATCTGGAAAAACTCTTTCCATGCCAGGCAGTTCATCTTCATTGTTATGCCATTTTCCCTTTTGGCGAGGTCTAAGGTTAGCTCAATATGTTTTTATTTCATGCCGGTTTGATTGATGGCCCACCCCATGGAATCTTTTTTTCTTGGCATCATTTAAGCCTCGTTTTCTATTCATGGCAATGGAAGTGTTTTTTGCTAGACTCGGTGGCTTTTTGATAGATGAATTGACGGGGCTGCCAATGATTCCATAAGGTTATTAATTTGCTTATTGTTTTGTTTCTGTCATTTACTTCTCCAACAGGGATTTGGGCAACAACAATCTAACCAAATTGGAGGCCAACTCATTTTTTATGGTACCAAATCTGGAGGAGCTGTAAGTACAAGTGGATCGAGTATTCCTGATTAATAGCAGAAGAATTTGCGAAAAAAGTTGAACACAAAATTTAAAATTATTATATACACATTCCTGCAACATTGCCAAGCTTTTAGAATTAATGGTAATGTGTACCAATATCATGCATACTCGAGATTATGTCTGCCTCACCCCCTCCCACTCTGACTGTCAGATATCCGTTGGGGTATTTTAGAAACCGCAAAACTTCCCCCATTTTAATCTGTGCCGGACTCGAACAACAGGAGCAGAAAATATGACAACAGCATAAAAAACTTTCGTCATATTAACGCGCAAAGTTGCCCTTCACAGGCGTGGCAACTCATTATTCAATTTCACAGCAAGCCCCTCCCATCTACAAAAACGAAACAGAAACGAGAAAGAAAAAATCACAGCGGTCAACACACGACCCATCCCTGACCAAAGCTAACCCAAGCCTTAGCCTCAGCCCCAACCCCAACCAGAGTCCTGGGCCGCCCCGACTCTTTGGTAATATAAATTACTTGATTACGCTGTATATTTCAGCGAGTTGGCACGATTAATTACTCCGGACTGTGCTATCCTTGCAATTTCCTGCACTTTAGCCAAAGACACTCGACTTTAGCCTGACTTTATTCCGGATATTTTGTTGACCAAGGGAAGGTTTATTTGCAGGACTTTGTCGGACAATAGCATCATTAATATGGATCCCAATGCATTTTATGGTTTGGGAAAATTGAAACGTTTGAGTTTGCAGAACTGTGGCCTCAAATCGTTGCCGCCGCAGTCGTTCCAAGGACTTGGCCAGCTGACTAGCCTGTAAGTATGCAACTGAAAAGTATTTAACAAATAAAACACCAACATTCGTGCTGTGTGAGTATCTGTGTGGGTACGTGGACGTTGATGTTTGCTTTTGTGCATTGCAATTAAGTTGAGCAGAGGATATCGTCGAGACGGAGAAGCAGGACTCAAGGACTGCTCAGCTGGATCTATGTACATCTACTCGCATTTGTTTGTTTCACACAAACATCAAAACGAACACACATGCACCAGCGCAGCAATTACACGCTATTTTGTCATATTTTTCGCAATTCTTTTACACTTTTCCCGCTGTTTCCCCTGTTTTTCCGTTTATATTTGGATACATTTGCCATGGCTAAAAAACACAAACCAAACCACCCGACCAACCAACCCACGACCCATCAAGTCAATTGAATGGCAACGCCTTGGCCAGTCTGGATGGGGATTGTCTGGGGCACTTGCAGCGGCTCCGCACCCTGCGACTCGAGGGCAATCTCTTCTATCGCATCCCAACAAACGCCCTGGCCGGACTCAGAACCCTCGAAGCACTGTGAGCCCTTTGATTTGCTTATTTCCAAACTTTTTACACTAATTATTTCCCTCTGCATGTCCCGCAAAAATTGTTGATCTAACCAAACGAAATTGGCAAACTGTTGGCTTGTTTTTCTAATCCATGTCGCTGTTGGGCCATTACGCATATTTATTTTCCCACATTTAAGTATTTTTTGGCATGCATTCGGGTAATATTTTTGGACAATTTTCTGCTGCAATTAGCAGAAGTGTTTAAGTCTGACAATTTATGTGCGGTTTGAATTTTAAAACCAATTAAGATAATTTTTAGGTTTAGTTTTGACTAACTAATTTTGAGGGAATAAATAAGGGTTACATCATATCGCCATTTTAATGCATTACTCTACTAGATTTAATCTAGTACTCAGCCTTAGATTGCATGTCAGTTAGTGTTCCCTTTACGCAACAGTAAATCCTTGATAAACGAGCCGTAGCCAATAATAATAATTTTATGTGCATGTTTTTCCGCGTACTTTGACCCCTTAACTTTTGCCATCGTATTACCATTTTTGATCTATAAACTTACTCCAACCCAACCACGAAAAGAATTGAATTATAAATGAATGTTAAGGGATAATAAAATCCTGCCATTGCTCATAATTTTCCCCGTCTGCTACCACTTTACTCCAACCATCGCCAGCAATTTGGGCAGCAATTTGTTGACAATAATAAATGACGAGGACTTTCCCCGAATGCCAAACTTGATCGTCCTGTAAGTAATCGGAGTCTCTCTCTCAGTCCTCACCCGTCCCGATGTGCATAGCTTCCAGCATTAATTATATTTCGTTTTTATTGCAGCTTGCTGAAGCGAAATCAAATCATGAAAATCTCCGCGGGGTCTCTCAAAAATTTAACCGCCTTAAAAGTTTTGTAAGTAACAAAGTCAAGAACTCCAAATACTTTCAGCACTTTACACACACATGAGCAGGGCAGACATGACATAAGCCCCCTGACACCGCCTCGACCTACAAAACTGCAATTGATATCAAATAGAAAAAATACAAAATTCGAAATAAGCCAGTCCGAAGTCTGGTTGCTCTAGCAGTGGATGCACAAGCCACGGTTTCTTATTATATTCCATACCATAGAATCTATAGAGTACTCGGAATCTGACACGAAAAGTGATGCGAACTTTTTATAGCATGTACTCATGGAGTAAATGGAGTATATTAAATCGATCACATCAATAACCGACTCGATATGGCCACCTAAAGAATTTACAGAATTGTTAGTTAATCAACATAGGATATTCCCACTCTGACACTCATCTAATCTATTTATTTTTATATAATTAACACCATTTATTTCTTAGCGAGGCCTAGAACAAGGCAAATGCACCCTTCCTGCAATGGTTAGGGCAAGGAAAATGCGAAGCAACTTTAGTCAAGCACAAGTGGCAAGTGGAAATGGTGGTTATCCGTTTTGCGGCCATGGCTCGAATAAATTTCAATTTTCCAGCAAAAGTGTGAAAAAGTTTTCGTTTTCCTTTTATATTCTCACTACCGGCTCGGTTCGGTTTGGTTCGGTTCCGAAGCTTAAATTGTCGTCGACCGCGTTGACGTTTTGCTCTGCTGTTTACCGCAAATTTTTGGCTTTTGCGCTGCATATCCGCACTTCTCCGTGGGCCCATAAAAACTTCCGCTGCTTAGACGTAGCCGCCCACCGGGTGGGACAGCAGACAAATATGCAAATTTATGTTGTTGCTGACAGACTTCCATTCTCTTTGCGAATGAGGATACCGAGGGGGTGCGTCGACAGGGGCGTGGCAAACCTCCGAGGAATGCATCAAGTGAAAGTGAAAAACTTTCGCCGTGCAACGCGTAAATCTATGCGTTAAAGAAGAATGGGGGGAGAATGTTCCGTGTGCATTCTAGCATTTGCTTCGGGATTTATGGGAAGCACCGCCCATATTCCACCTCAAGTGAAGACTCCTGCACACAGAGTGGGTCATATGCAGAAGTTGGGGCTGGGGGACAGAGCAGCTGTTGTTTGCAGTCAACCACCCACACCCCACCGCCCACGAAATGCATTTATGGGAGTTTCCACCGCAGAGGGGACGAACAAGTAGAATAACATGTTGGCGGTAGAAGGGGAATTCGGAGGAACATGCCTCTTGCATGTTGAGTATTTTGATCAATGCACGAAGATCTATCAAGTGAATTTCCTTAATGAACATTACCTGAAAGGTGAAATATATATCGGGAATTGTTAATATATATTTTTTCATGTAATGATTCTATTATGCCTTACTTGATTGTAATTATTAATTAGTTGTAAGTACTTAAGCGAGGGCTATATATATTCCTTTCAATCTCTGCAGGTAGAGAATGTCGAATATCAATGCAATTCAATGCACTTTAAAATACTCGTACAGTTTATTTTCATGCATAAATTTGCACACTCCTTCCCAGAGGAAATGGAAAACCCTCCGTTTCGAAATACGTGTTGTCACGTAGCCAAACTGACCCCAAACAAAGCCATGCGAATGCGAATGTGATTGTGACTCCTCCAGGAAGGAGAAGGGGATGGAGATGGAGATGGGGAAAACGCAACTCAGTTTCTATAATCGAAATCTGAAAATACTCGTGTACTTCAAATATGCGTCTGTGCTTTCTTTCTTTGCAGAGAACTGGATGATAATTTAATAAGCAGTTTGCCCGAGGGTCTCAACAAATTGTCGCAGCTGCAGGAGCTGTAAGTATGCCCCAGACACTCCTCACACCCGTACACAGATATCCTGTAAGAAAACAGGTGCCCGGCCGAGATTAGAAATAGTCGATGGGATGCAACTGCTGCTGATGTTGTTGACTTGCTACAACATTTCCTACTTTGTCGGGCGGCAAACAGGCGGAAACCAAAAATCATAACGCATCATTACTTGTGGAATTTATAGCCCCATGCCCCATGCCACATGCCCCACTCCCCTGCCCCACTCCCCGTTCCGGCCACCCTCTTTCTATGCGAATATTCTAAGAAACCCAACAGAGAATCGAGAGTAGAGAGCTGCAAGTTGCATTTTGTTTTTGCGACACGCCCGCTTGCTTGAGCAGCTCCAGCATATAGAAGCCACATCATGTGGCAACAGTCAGTGGCAACTGTCATGGCAATGTTGACATCGTTTGCGATTGCAGCTCCCCAAGGAAATTCAATTTCTGGTAAACAGGATAATTATGAGCATGTTAAATGTTGCGATAAAAGCCACGCTGCGCTGCATCCCAGAGCCATCGCGACCATGATTGGGGAATTAAGCTGGAAAATAAATTGGGGCGAGGGCAGTGGCAGAGACTCCTCCATTTCCTGGCATGTGTGGGGCTTGGAGCCGACAAAAAAAAATCAAATTTAAAAGGATTAAAACATTCAGTAAGCGTCTGCAATTTTTTTACCCGGTCTTGCAGTCAGGAAGGGAGTGAAAGTTAGCCGAGTGGGAGCCCTGAAGCCCAGACAATGCAACAAATTAAACTAGATAAGCAACGGGATTTTGTGGAAAAGTTAACAGAAGAGAGACAGACCCCATATACGAGTATATGTATAGCCGAAAGTTCATTTGTTTGGTTCGAAATTTAAAGAAGGATTCTGGAATATGTACGTACGTACAGAAGGAACTTTTTTTGCTGCTGATTGCGGTTCTGAGAGCCTGCATTCAGCTGCACTTCCCAGACCAGCCACCAGTCTGAATGGTGGCCAAGAAAAGCGAAGAGACGTTAACAATACGAGAAGCGAAAAGAATGCAGTTGTCACAGTTTATTTTTGGGTTTCTTGCCTTGTTGGTGTGTGCGCCAACTTGACTTTTAAATGCAGCTGCTGCCGAGTGCCACTTGCCAGGAGATACTTTTCTTGGCAGTGGGTAAACGGTTTTATTAAATTTGCTTGAGACCGACCCCCTCTCTCCCCACTTCCATGCAGTTCTATGACCAGCAATCGACTGCGCTGGATAAACGACACGGAGCTACCCAGGAGCATGCAAATGCTGGACATGAGAGCCAATCCCCTCTCAACGATTACGGCCGGCGCCCTCCGAGGCATGACCAAGCTGAGGAAGCTGTGAGTACCGCCCAGTCACTGATTGATCGCAAGTCAAAGTATCTCTTGCTCCTGCAGAATCCTCTCGGATGTGCGGACTCTGCGCGCCTTTCCCGATCTCGAGGCCTGCCACGCTCTGGAGATACTCAAGCTGGACCGTGCGGGCATTCAGGAGGTGCCATCGAACCTGTGCCGTCAAACGCCAAGACTGAAGAGTTTGTATGTCTGGGAGAACATCATATACATATGTAAGCTAGACTACGATGAACTGAGGTATTCTGTCTCTTTACCCCGCAGAGAACTAAAAACCAATTCCCTGAAACGCATCCCAAATTTAAGTAGCTGCAGAGACTTAAGGCTGTTGTGAGTAGAGGGGCATTGCACTCGGGAACTTCCCTTGACCTCCATTCATTTCAGAGATCTATCGAGCAATCAAATTGAGACCCTTCAGGGCAAGCCCTTCCATGGTCTGAAGAAGCTGAACGATCTGCTTCTCTCGTACAACCGCATCGGTGCTCTCCCACAGGATGCCTTCCAAGGCATACCCAAGCTGCAGCTGCTGTAAGAAACGATCATTGGGGAACTTTGTGGGAACCTCTAATAGGATTTTTGATTTTCTACCCACAGCGATCTGGAGGGAAACGATATCACCTTCATTCACAAGGAGGCCTTTGCCGGTTTCAGCGCCCTCGAGGATCTCAATCTGGGCAACAACATCTTCCCAGAGCTGCCCGAGTCGGGCTTGAGAGCCCTGCTGCACCTGAAGACCTTCAACAATCCCAAGCTGAGGGAATTCCCGCCCCCGGACACCTTTCCGCGCATCCAAACGCTGATCCTGTCCTATGCCTATCACTGCTGCGCCTTCCTGCCCCTGGTTGCGATGTCCGCCAAGAGGAAAACCTCACAGGTGCAGGAGGCGGTACTCTTTCCCTCCGATGCCGAGTTCGACATGACGCTGTGGAACAACAGCATGATGAATATCTGGCCACAAATGCGTAAGTATCCAGCTCCAGAGTACTCCCAAACACTTGTGGAGTTAGCTATCATTTTTTTGTTCGGTCTTTTCTGTCCAGACAATCTCAGCCAGCAGCTGGGAGCAGCCATGCACGATCCTTGGGAGGGGGCTACCTTCGGCGAGGATCAGCTGCAGTCCCCGACGGGTGGTCAGGCGCCCACCAGCTACATGGAGGAGTACTTCGAGGAGCACGACGTGAGCGGCCCGGCCACGGGCTATGGCTTCGGAACGGGCCTGTTCGCGGGCATATCCGCGGATGACTTTCAGCCGGGGTCGGTGCAGTGTCTGCCGATGCCGGGCACCTTCCTGCCCTGCGCCGATCTCTTCGACTGGTGGACACTGCGCTGCGGCGTGTGGGTGGTCTTCCTGCTGGCCCTGCTCGGCAACGGCACCGTGGTCTTTGTGCTCCTCTGCTCTCGCTCCAAGATGGATGTGCCCAGATTCCTGGTGTGCAACCTGGCGGCCGCCGACTTCTTCATGGGCATCTACCTGGGCATCCTGGCCATTGTCGACGCCGCCACTCTCGGAGAGTTCCGCATGTTTGCCATCCCCTGGCAGATGTCGCTGCTGTGCCAGCTGGCCGGCTTCCTGGCCGTGCTCAGCTCCGAGCTCTCGGTCTACACTCTGGCCGTGATCACGCTGGAGCGGAACTATGCCATCACCCACGCCATACACCTGAACAAGCGCCTCTCCCTGCGGCAAGCTGGATACATCATGAGCGTGGGCTGGGTCTTTTCTCTGATCATGGCCCTTCTGCCCCTGCTGGGCGTCTCGGACTACCGCAAGTTCGCCGTCTGTCTGCCGTTCGAGACGACTACGGGAGTGGCCAGCCTGACCTATGTGGTGTCCCTGATGATCATCAACGGCTGTGCCTTCCTCACGCTGATGGGCTGCTACCTGAAGATGTACTGGGCCATCCGGGGCAGCCAGGCCTGGAACACGAACGACTCCCGGATAGCCAAGCGCATGGCCCTGCTCGTCTTCACCGACTTCCTCTGCTGGTCCCCCATCGCCTTCTTCTCGATCACCGCCATCTTCGGCCTGCAGCTGATCTCCCTGGAGCAGGCCAAGATCTTCACGGTGTTCGTTCTGCCCCTCAACAGCTGCTGCAACCCCTTCCTCTACGCCATCATGACGAAGCAGTTCAAGAAGGACTGCGTCACGCTCTGCAAACACTTCGAGGAGTCGCGCGTCATGGGCGGCGGAACGGGCGCCAGGGGCGCTGTGGCCCGGGCAAAGAGGGGGGAGTTGCCACCGCCACTGCTGCCGGCGGCTGCGGCCCATCCGCCGGGCTGCCGCTGCCTGAGAATGCTGCCCAGCGAGATGCCCAACTGGCACAAGATGGAGCAGGCGCCGGGCCTCTGGCAGCGCCTGAGAACATTCTGCTGTGGCGACCGGCGCCGGCGCCGCAAGCAACGCCGACAGCCGCAGCAGCGACGCCCCAGGGCCTACACCGCTGCAGCCGCCAATCCCTACCAGTACCAGTTCGCTGAGCTGCGCCAACAGCGCCAGAACCGGGCCAGCTCCATCTCCAGCGAGAACTTCTGCAGCTCGCGGTCGTCCAGCTGGCGGCATGGCCCGCCCTCCTCCGCTCCGGTGCCGCAGAGCAACTGCAGCATGCCGCTGAAAATGATGGAGCCCCACGGACATGTGCACGGCCACGGACGGCGCAGACATTCCGCCTGGCTGATCACACGAAAGACGTCGCAGGACTCGAATCTGTCCAGCTCGAGGAACGACTCCTCGGCATCAGCCACCACCGCCAGCACTTCGACCTTCCGGCTATCCCGGTCCAGTGCCGGAAGCAGCACACCTCTACCCTCGATCATAGGTAGGGGAAATCCCTTTGAGTCCACGCTATCAGTTTAATATTTTCGTCTCTATCCTCTCTTGCACAGCGCACAACGGAAAGGCATTGAACGAGGCGACTAAGCCCCGTCTGGTGCGGCAGGAGGCGGTCCAAGAGGAGGAGGACTCCTCGCCGCCACGTCTGGGAGTGCGCTTCCTGCCCACCATCCCGTCGGCGGCCGACAGTTCGGTCATCATGGAGGATGGCGACTCGGCCAACACCAGCGGAGTCGCTGGCTTTCTGGGCATGCCCCTGCCGGGTGCCTCCAGCGGCTTCCTCATAGCCCCAGCGACACCCACCCCGCCGGCGATGCTGCAGCCCGAAAAGCCGCCACCCGATCCCAACGATGCCCCGCCATGATGGTGGGCCTGGGGCTGGCGGAGGATGGGCAGAGCCAATCGGGAGACCTTCTTGTAGAGGACAAGGGAACAGAAAGCAAACTGTGTTCATAGATTGTATTCGGGGGCGGGGCGGGGCTGGACCTGCGAAGGATAGGGAACTTAGGATAGCTAAAGACAAAGCAGAACAAAACAAAACAAAATCCCATTAGGCACGGCGAACATTATATAGTAAACATATTGCACGTAGTCCTAAGTAGTCAATTCGTTAAGCGCAACCCATGCCTACTCTGATCCACTTTAAGATAACTGCGGATCTGCGAAGATCCAGAATGAGTTAACACTTTGATCCGACAGAGGATCAGTCGATAATTGATATTTAAATTAAATTCGAATATGTGTGAGCCTCGAAGAGCTCTGCAACCCCAATTACCGCATTTACATATACATATACACATAAAATGGCTAGAATGCGACTCTCCCTGAGCGTTCTCAAGGATCGTTTCTGGGCAGGTCCGTCCCAGCTAAGAACCCATAGCCGCCAACAGAAGTCATCGTTAGAGGGATCAGAGAAGGTTGATTAAAGAGTATTATGTATTGCATAAATTATTATAGTAGATTACGTTCGTTGCATTAACCCATACAAGTTTAGTGTAGCCGCATACTCGTATATATTCGTATACTCGTATATGTATAGTGTATTTGTATTTGTATTTATGTATGTGTGAACTACGAGTATGTTCGAAGATGCCAAGCATCTGTGCATCGGTGCAAACCTGGAAACGAAACCAAGCCATAAACATAAACATTGAAATTAAACTAGACAGCAAACGACAACAGAATCTTTCAGATATGGTCGGGCTTTTCAGTCACAACGACCAACGGCGGAGACATCACCAGGGCCAGGCATAGGATGCACAGGATGGCCAGGATGAAAATGGTTCATGGTGGATGAACACGGTCCAGTTGATGGGGAGGTGTCAGCCTGAGGCATTCGGCAGTGACGTTGTCGCCTTTGTTTTCATTTTAGTTGCTTACCAAGTGAGCCGGAATGCTGTTGTTCTCCAGGGGTCTGAAGGGTTCTCCAGAGATGTGGATGCCTTGATCGGACGGGACACGGCTCTTCTTCACACACACAGATACAGTTCACTTTTATTAATATTTCAAGTGCAAGAGAAATATTGGGTACAAACACAAACACGAGTAAATCTACAGTGTAGATTCTACACCTAACCACGCAGACTCGTGTCATGGTGTTGTTGCGACCACCTTTGCATAACCTCCCCCATGTTCTCCGCTTCCGGCTCGTCCGATGATCCCTTACGGAAGGCTTTCATAGCCTCCTAAGCACTTCCATTATTGATTTCCCTTTCCCAGCATGGTCCCCGCATATTAGGACGCTAGCAATTCATTATATTACAAAAACAAGACATTTCAATTCTGATTTCTTATAGGTAACATTCTTAAGCTTATACTCGATATAAAACATAAAATGACTTTACTCTAAATTTCGGTGCATGTTCGTCGCTAACGGCACCACTGTGCAAGCCCTAGCTTCGTTTTCCCGAGAGAGACAGCATGCCGCTCCCGATCTGTTCGGTCTTATACCGTATAAGAGTATTATTTTTCTCTTTCTCTAGGTGCACCTTCTTTGTACCCTATAGGGCCATTGGGGTAAGGGTATGCATATGGGACATGGGTTTTGGGGCAGTAGCAATAACGTAACGCAGATTTTGTACTCACTCATATCAATACGTCAGCGATAGCGCTTTCCTCTAATATTGCGTTGGTGGATTGCTGCAAAAAAAATAATTGAAAAAAAAGAAAGAAGGAAAAGCAAACCCAGCCTAAACTTGGCCCATTCGCCAGTCTAACTCGCAACTCCCCAAGCAGATAGTGTGCTACCTGCTCGGTTTCTTTTTCCGTTTTATGCGTGCCCTTTTCCCATGCTTTTATTCTTGCTTTCTAGGAGCCTTAGCTTAGCCATAGCTAATGCTCTCGCGGCCGTCGCACTCTGCGAGAGTTGTTACTATACAATTGTGTGGGTATTATTCCTTATGTACTACGGAAATTTAAGAGAAAAACCTATAAACTAACTATAACTAAAAAAAAAAAAATTAATATTTGTGAAAGCTTATATAAGGGTCCTTATTCTGCCACGGCGTCTTTCGCTCCGCCTATGCCTTGGCCTGGTGACGGGTAGCGCAAGGCCAACAAAAACGAGAAGGAACGTGTGAGTCGCTTCTAGGGACGCGACTATTCGTATACCGTTACTGAGTCAGTATATAAATTTTAGAATTAAAAAACAAAATTTTTTGTATATTTTACATCTAACATGTAGATTATAGATGTACCAATTATATTCTACATCTCCTCTGCTAGGGGTTGCTCGCGCACTGAACGCGGCAGAGTGTGAGAGCGAGGAAGAGATAGGTAGCGGTTCTTTGACCGGAGGGGGCGGAAGAACAAACAGAAAATTAATTTCTTCATTCTGGCTATAAATATGATCCGATCTAATTCAGATTCGGCAATCTGGTAGATATAGGCATTCTCTATGATACTGCGTTTTTAGTTTTATCGTATCTTTAAAATTGTGCCTGCCAAAGATTTTCGTCCTTTGTGGGGGCGGGACGAAATTTTGAAATACACTTGTAGCAGTGTGATACCACATGAGTCTGGAAACCAAATTTGGGTTCTCTAGCTCTTATAGTTATGAGCGGCTTGGTTCGTCCGTTTTGGGCTGGCGGCCTCGGCACCCCTGTGCTCGACGTTAATTAGCGGAGGATCGGGAACTGGCAATTTTTGACTTTGGTCTTACCGAATCTGACACAAACACATGGTTTTTTTGTTCCTTATGTACCGCGATATTTATATTAGTATATGGACTATGCACTTCCTTACTTGGACCAATATTTTCTGTGTGGCTCCATATGTTACTAGAACTCGAACCAAAAGTGCCTTTCGGCTCCCACTCGCTGCTTTTGAGTCCAACAGATCTCTTTATCCCCAATTTGAGATACATTTTGGCACTGTTCCAGTAGCCTGCTTTCGGGTGGAAGCTAAATACGTTCGACCCTACAAGCCACTTCAGTGAGAATGAGCGCTAATCGGCGACGAGTCGCGCAACTAACTGAACTGGGGAAGTCTGGGATCCAACATTATCGCTTTAGAACTCCAGCAATTGGAGAATAATGTCGGTGCTGTTGCGTTCTTTGCAGCACGGGATATCTCTGTGCAGCCGAGAATTGCAGTTAATTATGGAAGACAATGCAATGCAGAAAACTACCCGCTTAACTGGCCGATGTTCTTTCTTGATCAGCATCAACAGTAAAGCTCCCTGGGCAGAAGCTACTTTCGTGGGTGGCTGACAGAGAAATATTGAGAAAAAGATTGGTTTTTGCGACTAAGTCGGCCCCACGTTCTTGCTCTCCATTCCGTTGCAGTGACGCTCACAGATCGCTTGATCAACTCGACCAATTTGGGCAACACTTCAGCTCTGTTGCAGCCCAAGCCACATAGGAGGAAACCCCTTGAGCCCAGGAGGATCAGAGAAGGTTGACTGAGTGTAATGTACATATTACATAATGTATTACAGTAGTGTACTCCTACTTTCTTAACATTAACCCATAATATAATGTACGAGTATTTATGTTCAAAGACGCCAAGTGATCAGGTTATCCTGAACTATATTACGACTTCGGGGTTGTGCGGTCTTGCTCCCAATGAAATCGTCCAGAACTTCCTTAATCGGCACTAGGACTTTTGTAGTTACGGTGACGGTTTCTGCCTACTGGAAATTCCCATTCCTTGAGACTTATAGGGAGTAGGATTTCCACCATGTAAATATTCAGCTATGGAGTTTCGATGAGTACTAGTTTTATTCGGAAGAAATGTTCGGCTTATATACAGTTCTGCTGGTTACAATTGTTTAATTAGGTCTACAGATACTTTATGAGTCCACGCTCACATTACGGACTTTATCATGTGAGGTTGAAGATAACTCCCGCTGCCTGTTGCACATTTATTTAGGTCAGCGGTGCGTTTTCCCCTACAACTCCTTTTCTGTCAGTTCAAATCTTAGCGCCTTAAGGCCCACTATTTACCTAGGTCTACTCGTACGATAAGTAGGAATCGTACCCCTGTTCATGTGTTCATGAACACCAAGCATTAGTTGGTGTAAGCCCAGCATGGCGACGAAAACAAACCGTAAACATTGAAATTAAATTAAGACAAATGGCTATGCTCTTTAGTCCCCCAGGCCTATGCCTTCCTCGACGGTCCCTTCCCCGCTGTTGGCCAAAATCACACCGTACGAGGGGTTCTCGATGAGATGGACTTGCTGCTTGTCGTTGGGGCGACGACGGCGCTGCATCTCCCTTACGACCAGCAGCGGAGTCATCACCAGGGCCAGGCAGAGGAGGATGGCCAGGATGAGCATTGTCCAGTGGAAGGCGATGTGCTTGCCGGTGGAGGGAAGAGACCTGGTCTGATCCGATCCCGATCCCGCTACCGATCCCTCGCAGGTCTCCGGGGCTATGCACAACTGACCCGGCAAGCAGCCTTGGGAGCAGATGGGCTCGCATTCGCTGGTGCTGGAAGGAAGCATCCTGTATCCATCCAGACAGACGCACGTCTCCGGCCTGAGGCACTCGGCATTGATGCACTGCATCTGGCATTGAGGTTGACAAATGTGCGGCTGGCTGGAGTTGGTCACCACGTGGCCCGGACTGCAATCGCACTGGCCGGGGGCCGAGCAGCGTCCGTTTTCGCAGCGTGGTCGGCAGCTGGGGACGCACTGGTAGTGGAGTCTGGTATCCTCGTAGCCCTCGAGGCAGGCGCAGCTGTTGGGCTCTACGCAGGTGCTGTTGATGCAGCTGGGAGAGCACTCGGGATCGCAGATGGAGTCGGAGCCGGCTCTCATTCGATAGCCCTCGTAACAGCGACACTGGCCGGAGCCCTCGCAGTGGCTGTTGACACACTTCTGGGGGCAGTAGGGCTGGCAGGTGCCGGTCGGCCAGCGCTTGTAGTGGCCAGAATCGCACTGGCAGACCTCCGGAGCGATGCAGCGGCCATTTCCGCATTCCTGGCTGCAAATCGGCTCGCAGACGTTCGGCCCCTGGGTGGGACTGGGCCGGTAGCCGTTAAAGCAACGACACTCGTTGGGGGCGGCACAGGTTCCGTGTTTGCAGGGTCTGGTGCATATGGGTATGCAGTAGAAGGAGAGCAACGCCTGATGGCCCTCCAGGCAGGTGCACACCCCGGGACTGCTGCAGATGCCGTTCCGACAGCTTCGCGGACAGAAGGGCTCGCACTCCGTTATGCTGCCATTCACAAAGACGTGGCCGGTGTCGCAGGCGCAAGTGTCCGGCGCAATGCAGCGCGAGTTGCTCCCGCAGGATGGATTGCAAACGGGGGTGCAGCGATGTGGTGAGCTCTGCACGTATCCCTCGTGGCACTCGCACTGGCCGGGGGATCTGCAGAACCCGTTCTCGCAGCCCGCTCGACAGCTGGGCACGCAGACATTGTGCGAGTCGTCGGCGAAGGCATGGCCCTCGGAGCAGGCGCAGTGACCAGGTGAGATGCAAGTGCCGTTGACGCAGGCAGGATCGCAGAGCGGCACGCAGCGGGAAGAAATGTGATCGGTAATGCGGGTGTATCCCAGTTTACAGTAGCAGATCTCCGGCTGTACGCATATCCCATTGCTGCACCCGCCCGAACAGATTGGATCACATTTCCAGGGCTGTGCCACCCGCTTTTCGTGGCCAGCGTGACACTTGCACTCGTTCGGCCCCACACAGTCGCCATTTAGGCACTCGTCCTGGCAAACGGGCACACATTTCTTCAACTCCTCATCCCGCTGATGGCCGATGTTGCACACGCAAGTCGTTGGGTTTGGGCAGTGCCCGTTCTCGCAGTCCACCGAGCAAACCGCCTCACACTCGGTCCGAGAGTCATCGCGGAAGCGATACCCATCCCGGCACTGGCACTCGTCCGGCGCCACGCAGCTGCCGTTGACACATGGCTCGCTGCACTCTGGCTCACAGATGGTGCGATTGTTCCGATTGGCAAAGCCTTTGCCGCACAGGCAAACTTGAGGGCTGAGGCATATCCCAGTGGTGCCGCAATTCACGCACTGGGGAACGCATTCACTGAGTGGAGTGGAAATGGAGCTTTAGTAAGTGGCCCAATCAGCTGGTGATTTCTCTACTCACTCATCGCCGTTGCGAATGTATCCTTCGCAGCAGACGTCTTCATACGACATGTACGTCTACGGAAGAATAATGAACATGTCTGAATATTCAACTTATAAATCACTTTAATGATCAAGTGGACGATCCCAAATTCGTTGTGACTTCTTTGGCCGATCAGCTTTGGCTTACCTCTGTTCTAGGTCTGCCCACCAAGGATCCACAGTTCCCAGTGCAATTAGTCAAGCCCTGATATTTGCGCATAGTTACCAGGGTGCCCCGCATTTTCATTAGACTTGGAATTCATCAAAAGATTCAAGTGAGTTGGAGCCAAAAATTATACGATGCACAGATGTTTACTCACGGCACGCGATCGACACAGGCCTGAGCCTGCAGGCCAACACCTGAGATTATTATTAGCACAAGGGCCCACATATTCAGGAATGATCTAGCACGAGTGGTAGCACTGGTCCAAGCGCTCGGGCAACTGCTCACTTTAAGATACACTTGTCAAATGATCAGACAAGTGAGTTCTCAATTACATGAAGATGGACAAGCAATCCCGACATGGGCGCTTATCATCCTAGCTTTGCATTTTGCTGCCTCTTTGTGTGCATGTATATAGGACAGATACCCCATGGGCTGTATGTGTTTATTGAACCCAAAGACAGGCAGAACAATAGCCTCCCAATAGCAGAGATTGCGATACGAGTCCAAGTGCAGACCACGCAAATTGAGATCCTTAACATTGAATACTCACTGGTATGTAATATGACATTTGCGATTTCGCTTATCGTGCAATTTGAGCTACGGGTATGGGTATGGGCTTACGTATAAATAATATAAAAATACGAGTACAAATAAGATTCCTCTATGGGACCCACAGCGGAAACATGATGTGAGTATACTTTGTCGCTTCGGTCGCGGGGCTCCGAATAATTAATTAATTAAATATATTTCCATATTTATGTATGTAGTTTCAGTTTCAATTTTATGACCTCACAGACCCAGGGGCGGAAAATATACATGTTGACTGTTTGGCTATTAAGAGTTTTTTAATAGCCGTTGAAAGTCAGTTATTATTACAAAAAGAATCGAGCGTTTCAATAGGTACAATACAATTTATTTCGTATTGGTAAGGTAAAGTAGGCGTCAGTATGATGACCGATATAATAAAGCCATGCGATGGATAGGAAGATTATCTCTCGACTAACTATTACCAAAGACTATACAATACCAAGATGCCAAGATGTTCTATGGCGAGGCTTACCGGTGCGCCCCATGGACAGAGGGAGCGCGCGGGGTTTCAATTCTCTTTTCGGCTATGCTTCGTCTCTGCCGCGAGCCCGCTGCCCGACAGCTTCGTCTGTTCGTAAGAAACGAGCCGAGCGAGCTCGAGACCGCTCAGCAGATGCGCACAGTGGGCCCAGCTTGACAAATTATAAAGTAAAAAGGATTCAATACATTTTTTTATATTTCATTTTCGTATCATATCTCTGCTCATATCTCCTAAACTAAAATTATTTTAAAAGTTAGGTTCGTTAAAGCTCTGGAAAATTTTCTACTAGATGTGTACATTTATTTTATTCAAAGCGTTCATAAAATATTTTTTAATTTTGCCATCTCTTTTCGGCTGAAATACACACAAACAAATAATAATAACCTGGGCAACCATCAATCTGGAGGCTCTCCTTTTTTTCACGCCAGCTCCCTTCTATTTTCATTTGAAATAAAAGCTTACAAATTTAATGTTTGTTTGATGATTTTGTATTTTTCTCAGTGGCTATTATATTTTTTATTCATTATTTGGAGTTTTGTTTTTTCAAAAAAATTTTTTGTTAGCACCCTAGGGCCCTAGGAAACTGCTAATCCGGCCCTGGACCTATTCCCGTCGTCAGACTTCATATGATGATGTCGCTCGACTCGACCGAGGTGACGAAGCCGAAAGCAGAGCAAAGGCTAGCCTAAAAGAGAATGGAATAAATACCCCGCGCGTCCGTACAATGAAACGTCGAGCAGATGCTAAGCCGAGCAAGAACGTCATATTGAACGCGAGAGAACAGCTTAGATGCTGAAAATGCAACAACAAAGCGAATAAGGCGAGATAGAAATGAAAGAGCGGCAGCCGCCGTGCATAAACATATGTAGGCTAATTAACAATGATTTGTACAGTGGACAGTGCAAATAATTAACAATGAAGATGATTTACGTTTGGCTGCTCCAGTAATTATTATCTAAAGAATTTACAACTAAACAACGGGCTGGAAAACCCGATATTGACTTTGGAATGCGGCTCAGTAATATTTCCGTTTTGTTTTTTTTTCTACATTTGAAACAATGATTGTTTCCAGCTAATCTTCCTAAGATACACATATCTACATATAAGCACATATGCGCATTAGAGTGGCCCGGTAATGCAAAGTTGTGTGAAGGGATTCTGAACAGCGGGGAGAAAACATTTTTGAAATCGGTTAACGCATCGAGGTCAAAATATTCGCTTTTGGCCAAGTTAGTCAATAAGTCAAAAGTTAGTATGGACAAAACTGAAATTTGTAAATTCCCTTAAAATCGAACCATATCCGACCGGAAAATGATTCTGAATTCTGATTCTAAATTCTTTACAATTCGCGAACTATTGACTTTTTTTGCTATACCCGAACTCAAAGAGTTAAGGGGTATATTGTATTTGTGGTAAAAGTGGATGTGTGTCACGCAGAGAAGGAAACGGTACCGACCCCATAAAGTATGTATATTCTTGATCAGCATCAATAGCCGAGTCGATATAGCCATGTCTATCTGTTCGTCCGTCTGTCCGTACGTCTTGATGAGCGCCTAGATCTCAGAGACTATAAGAGCTAGAGCAACAATCTCAAGTATCGTAGAGAATGACCATATCTGGCAGATTTCCGAATCTGGTTCAGATCGGATCATTATTATAGCCAGAATGAAGAAATTAATTTCCTTTTGCTTCCCCCACCCCCTCCAGCACGATTACACGCTACTCACTCTCTTTCTCGTTCGCACACTCTGCCTCGTTCAGTGCGCGAGCGCCCTCTAGCGGAGGAGATGTAGAAAATATTTTAAAATTCAGTATTTATATACTGACTGGATTTGGGTATAAGAGCAGAGTCGCGTCCACAGAAGCGACTCACACCGTTTCTTCTCTTTTTGGTTTTTGTTTTGTTTGTTTTTGAAGCAGCTAAGACTCCTGAATTAAACATGTAACCAAATTTTGACTAGCTTGGCTGAAAGCGAATATTTTGACCTCGATGCTTCTTAGAATATTTTAACACAACTTTCTACTACTGGACCGACTTAAGATTCAACAATTTGGGAATTTCAGCCCACTCTAATGCATATACATATGTACTTATATTATCATACAACAAATTGTTTAGTAATGAGTTTGTTAGTATGAAAAATATTTTTAAATGGAAAGAGAACCGCTTAGATCATTCATACTTGTGCAATATAATTATAAAGAGTAGATAAGCGAATTCTTTAAAATGTGCCAATATGTATATAAAAAGATATCTGTGTAGTATTCATTTGCTAAGAGAGCACCAAGAAAATATTTAATTAAGGGATCAAGGTCGCTGGAAGACTTTGTTCTTATCACTACGCCTGTTAAGCAATGCAATACTCAATACAACTTATTATTGAGATAAAATCGAGCTTCCAATATTTTCGAGGGCAAACGTAGTTTATCTCGGATACAACGGATGTGGCCAAATACGAGATGCGAGAACTTGAATGGAAGTCCCAGTTCGAGAGCTCAGTTTAATTCCGAACGCTGTGCAGAACGCATAACAGAACGCTTATTTGGAGATACGAGTACGAATGTGCCCCAGAATTACACAAGATTTGCAAAAATGCAAATCATAAAAGCCATCACTCAAAATGTAGGTCCTCGGATGGGCTTGGTCTTGGTTCTGGCTGTCGGCTTTATTTGCGCGGTTCGAGCCTACGATCCAAAGGTCTGTGAGCGCCAGCAGAATGTTCCGTACACGCGACTGGCTTACAGGAGTCGACAGGAGCCGTATCAGAAGCATTCGTTCTGGATCGGCTCGGAGACCAAGTATCGTACAGTATATGGATGGGTAGAAGAAGTAAGTTCTGATGGATTCTCAACAATATATTTTAAAATTTATATTTTGTATTCCCCATGCTCTGAGTAAATAAATAATAATTAAAAATAAATAATATTTTACTCCCCCAGGTAGACTATAAAATTGAAACAAAAAGGTTCTGCTGCAACGGCTACGAGGGATCCATCTTCAACTGTATGCCCGTTTGCTCTAAAGGCTGCTCTGGAAATAGTTACTGCACCGCTCCGAATGAATGTGGCTGCAAGGTTGGCTATGGCGGAGCCAATTGTGATCCCATTTGTTCCAGATGCGGCAAGAACGAGTATTGTCTGATGCCGGATCGCTGTGCCTGCAAAGAGGGATACCAGAAGGTCCACAACGATGGCGAATGCCTGCCCGTATGCCCAGAGCTCTGTGTGAATAACAACTTCTGCGCCGAGCCGGGAATTTGCGAGTGCAAACTCGGATATGCCAAGTCGCAGATCGACTCCTCGTGTCAGCCCGTCTGTTCGTCCAAATGCGGACCCAACTCGTTCTGCCAGGAGCCGAACGTCTGCGTTTGCGAAAAGGGCTATCAGGCGGACGGGGAGGGTAGGTGCCTTCCCATATGTGAGGTTGATTGTGGTGATAACAGTCAGTGCGTGAGACCCGGAGTGTGCGAGTGCGAGGCGAGCTATGCCGGCGAAGGGAAAAACTGTCTGCCCGTTTGCTCCAAGGTCTGTCCCGATCATAGTAGTTGCCTGACACCCTCCGTCTGCATCTGCGATCCAGGCTACACCATGAAGGGAGACCGGTGCGAGCCGCACTGTCCCAAAAAGTGTTCGGACTATGCCCAATGCACAGCCCCCAATGTGTGCGAGTGCTACCCCGGCTATGTGGCCACCGGGGAAGACGGCAAGTGCGAGCCAAAGTGCAGCCAAGGCTGTGCCAACGGCTTCTGCTTCTCGCCGGAGGTTTGTGTCTGCAGCATAGGCTACCTGATGGGCCCCAACAAGACCTGCGAGCCCCAGTGCAGCCTCAACTGCGTGCACGGAGAGTGCACCCACCCAGAGACGTGCTCCTGCGAATCTGGCTACCGTTTCCAAGGGAACTCGCAGCATATTTGTGAGGCGGTCTGCGAGAAGGGCTGTGAGCACGGGGACTGCGTGGCCCCAGAGATCTGTCTCTGCCACGAGGGCTACCAGCCGCTGCCCAACGATTCTGGCAGCTTCGTGTGTCAACCCGTCTGTCAGACAAACTGTGTGAACTCTACGTGCACTGGACCGGATCATTGTAGCTGCCTGGAGGGTTACGTGCACCTCTCCTTATCCACTTGCGTTCCCCACTGCAGCAAGGGCTGCAAGTTCGGCGACTGCCTGGAGCCAGAGGTGTGTGCATGCCAGCCTGGCTATGAGCAGACAGATATGGGATGTACTCTTCAGACGCTTCAGACGCTTCAGACTACCTCCACCTCCACGTCATTTTCCGACTCTACATCTACTTCTGCCTCCACACCCACTGACACCACAGAAGATTCTACGTCCATCGATATGGTCTCACAATTGCCAGACACGAACTGTTCTCAGGAATGCCTCTGCTGGAATGAGTTCGACGAGCTGGGTCCCCTAAACAACGCCAAATGTGTCAACGTTTGTGTGGATGATCATGACAAGCCCTGCCTGGAGCTGCGTGAGTGCCTCTGCGATCCCTCGAGTGGCCAACTAGTGTGTGGGGGAAGTGGGGATTACAGCTCCGAGGTAGTGCGCTACATATGCAAGGCCGCCAAACCCAAGGCAACCTCAAATCAAGGGAAGAATGATGCAGCCAAGGCCGAGCCCAGCCAAACCCACAAAAATAGATCGGAGTCATCCAACTGGCACTCCGTAGTGGGGTGGTGCATCGCTGTCGTCGTTTTTGTGGCCATCGTAGCTACAGCCGTTAAATTCTATCCAAAATATGGCAAAAAACATTCTTACGAAGTCAATGAAGCCCTTTGTGAGAATTCTCTATAGAATATTGAAGTTGTCTTATTTAAACTACATAAGTACACATACATATAAATACATATCTATCTTCTATCTATGTTTATAAAAATGTTGTGTTCGTTTCTCCACACAATAGAGTCAGGCCGAGAGTCATGCACAGCGACCGGAGCTCTGAAAATCGCGATTTAAATATTGTTGTATAAAGAAGGTCTTTCCATGGCTGTCAAATGTTAGTATTTTTTTCGATCCAGAGTCCCTGTTTGGCTACGCAGCCAAATAGTGGAATTAAATACATAGAATATATCCAGTGGTGCAGCAGTAGAGTAAATCCTCATTATAGTTCGTTGTTTGCACTGCCCACTGTACTAAAAAACATATGTACACATTTATGCATGAGGCCGTTCTCTCGCGTCTTCATCTCGCACCTTTCTTTCTAGCCTTTCGCTATCACTTTCTCGATCTGTTGCTCTCTCGCTCGCATTAGGACACGGGCAATACTGCCCGCCTGCCCTTTGATTTCGTCTTGCACTCACTTCTTGCACATCGTCTTGGAATCGAGCTATGCAATCCGACACTGTCTTGTACCGACCCCCGCGTTTACAATCTGACCCCGTCTTCACTATCCAACCGACTCGCCGTGCTCTTCGACTCTGTATCGCCTTATATACTGTCCACAACAATAAACCATATTTAATCTGAACAACCATCGGCTCGTTAGTAAACATAACGCAAAACAACGCTACTGAAAAAGCTCAGTAGCTCAACAGCCCTTTTGCCCGGTTTCAGTCACAAACGAAATACAAACGTACTCGCAACGCAGAAATTACGAGAGGAAGTGCTTCGAATAGAACTGTGGAAGAGGGGGAATCGCAGCTAGACAAAGACCTTTGTCTTTACAGAGGCAGAGGATTATCATGGCACCAGCAGAAAGCCTTGCAGCCAGGCGTGTTCTGCGCCGACAGTCGCGTTCTGCAGCCACAGATCTGGTTCGCTCGCAAAGAAATTAAAAGATGGGGCAAAGGTTGCTGAATTACGTGCAGAGGTAACAGTAGATGGAAATCAGCGATACAATCATATTGCATTTCGATATGATCCAGATGTTGATTAGGCGCCAGTCGCCATGTGCTCATTGGCCAGATCAGTCTGCACTCACTGCAAGGCTCCAAAGTTTAATAATGAAACGAAAGGATTGTCTTGTGCTGGCGGGAAAATCAAAATACCTGCACTTGAAGCACCACCAGAGCCACTTGCTGGATCTACTGCTGAATCGAAGCAGTCTCTATCGAACATAAGGAAATATAATTCTTGCTTCCAAATGACGTCCTTTGGTTCGCAAATCTTGACTGGCCAATTCATGCGAACTCTCAAAATGAAATGAAAAATCTATCACAGAGCTGGCTCCGTGCTCCCATTGCCAGATAGTAAAAACAAATTTCTTCAAATTCTTCCAATTCGCCTATAGCGAGGCGCATAATCGGAGAGCTGGACGAAATACTGAGTGAGCACAATGAATTATTGAACTGATTTAAATGACACAAATTGGAAAGTGTCAATCACGCTATTGTCAGCTGTTCATAACGACACAGGCCACCCCATCAATAATACAGTCCACTTGAAGGAGGCCACTTGAGAAAAGGGACATCTAAATCTAGGATGGGTCGCGTCGAACCCAAATCTGTCGACACACTTGTCGCACAGTCACACACACTTATCACTATCAAGGATAGTCGTGGGAACAAGAGCCGCACATTTGTTCTTTACTTAGAGTTGGTCTTAGTTTAATTAACATAATTAAAGAGTTTCCTATATATAGTGCATAAGTTTTGAGAATAAAACAGTTCGAATTTATAACTCGTCTCAGTAACATCAACATCAGCAATCCTGATAAAACATCAGATGGAGATCACATGTGTAGATTCAAAGATAATGTTTTTGAAAACGTTGCTGCGTTCATGGCTGGCTAATAAAACAATTATTATTTATGGGGGCTCATATGAGGAGTCATTTATAGCAATATAATAATCGAATGTTTATCTGAGTTTTTTTTTGTCATTCCCACGAACGTTGACTGTCCCTCTGGCAACTGCAACTTCCGTGCGGATATCTGACTTTATTTTTATAAATGACTAATTATATTCTTATAATCCGATTGTTAAAAAAACCTGAACTTGTAGGGAAGTGTATAAATAAAGAATTTTGAAATTATATGCATAGGTTCCATGCGCCTAGACGGGAATACACATGGTAGATGGTTCGTGGTAGCTGAAGCCTGTATCACAGATGCATCGGTTTCGACTGACACAAACGCCATTGCTGCACTTCCTGCGGTAAGTAAAGGAATAAAATTTATGAGCGAAAGGCGTACCACACGGTAATTACTCACTGATAGCAGTCGGTCTGACAGACCCCGTCCTTTAGCATGTACCCCGGTCCGCACTCGCACTCGTTGTTGTCCCTGCAAAGGCCCCCTATGCCGCAGTCCGGCTCGCAGACTGGCTGGCAGCCATCGTCGGTGAGCTGGTAGCCCTTGGAGCAGCCACAGATCTCGGGTTCCGTGCAGTTATGGCGCTGGCTGTTGCCACAACCACTGCTGCAGATGGGACGGCAGAAGCGCCTCGTCTCGTCCAGCTTGTAGCCAGGATCGCAGAGACAGCTTCCGTCGAGGAAGCAGCGGCCGTTCTGGCATCCCAGCGGACAGGCGAACACGCAGTCCCCGTTGTCGTTCTTCACAAATCCCTCGTAGCAGTCGCATTCTCCAGGTGACCGGCAGCTTCCGTTCTGACACCCGCACAGGGGACGGCACTGGGTCACTCCCAGCAGGCGGCTGGCCGAGTAGCCAGTACAGCAAACCTCGATCAGGGATAGTTTGTTGGCCAGGTCTGTCTGAATGGTGTTGGCGTGCGGGTACTTGGCGGCCGTTTCAGGACTAAAGCAGCGTGTGGGATAGTGTAATAATGTATCTATCCCCCGGAAGAGCGTCGCATCTACTTACGGCACCCAGATGCGGCACTTGTGCTGTACCTTGTCGAATAGCGTCTCGTGGGAGCGGATCAGGTACTCACGCTGCTTTGGCGTCTGCTCCAAGTGCTTCAAAACCTCATAGTTCGCTCCCCCAGGACGGTTGTACAGCGGCTGAGAGAGCGACTGTCTGTTGGCCGAATAGCGACGTCCGAATTGGCTTGGGTCCTGAGATTGGGGACGCCTCGGGTCGTAACGATTCGGGGAATCGTACTCCGAGTAGTTTGGCACATTCGCCTGGGTACGGGGCAGTCCCCAAACCAGGCAAAGAAGCAGCAGGCTCAGATGTTGGCTCGCCTCATGTAACCCCATTTCGAAGGCCGTTTCCAGTCTGTGCTTATTTAATTGTTTGCTGTTTACGTTCCTCGCAATACGCTTGCTAAAATCCTACTAATGGGCCTGAGATTAGCGAGCTCTCTGCCTTCCCAGAGTTGGCTCGTGGCTCGTGGCTTATCAGTTTAGGGTCCCAAAGCCTACGCGAAATAGAGCGCAATTCGGTTGTGGTTTTAGAGATGATTACAAAGCAATACAAAGATTACAATTAAGTTACAGCTGAAGGAGAGGCGTCTGATTGACCATAGCCAAGATCAAAATTCTACAGTTTCCATTTTATATTATTAGGAAATATTTAAAAATATATGTAGATGTAGATGTAGATGGATTCTCAGTCGTTAGTTGCGAACGTAGTTTTAAATTTCCAGGAATTGTCTCTATATTTTGGGTGCATATATGTAAGTATTAATTTTCTCAATAAAACTAGTGCCTCAATTAGCTATGAAATGCCATACAAAAATCTATGCTTGGGCGTAGTTCACTCTTTCACTTGACATACATACTCGTACAGCACATGAAGTGGGCCGCATCGCGTCTCTGGATCAATCTCTCCCCAGGCCTCAGCACAGACCACAGCTCTCGTATTTCAATTAAAAGTCAAGCCCGCTTATCTCAGCCTCTGGCCGCGATTAAGACGCTCACTGACCCAAGTGAGTCGTCGCAGCCGGAACAGTCGGCAATCGCGACTTGAACGCTTCGGTAACTCAGCCAACAAAGCTGAAATGTCGCAGCTTTTGCGTACGTTGGGTATCCAATCGGTGCTGCTGGTCCTGTTCCTCTGTCTGCTGCAGGCCATGGAGCTGCAGCTGCATGAGCAGCAACTGCAACAGCAACAGGACGATCAGGCGCGCCTCAGGGAACAGCAACTGCGGCAGCAGCAGCAGCGCGAGCAGCAGGCACAGCAGCGACGCCACTCCTCGACGACCACCAGTCGAAAGCCCTTCATCATTCCCAATGGCCTGTCGCTTCCCCGACGAGGAGAACATCCGGACAAGTGCTTTCGGGAAGTTCCGTGAGTAACGAGGACGGGACGGGCTCTGAATTTTAGGGTGTTGGGTCACTACTCCTTTGATTAGGGCTGTCTTCTTTCAGTACGACAAGGAGGTGAAGATCGTGGGCAACAGCACCACCAACCGTCACTTCAACGTCATCGAAGTGTGCTGCAAGGGCTGGCGGCGGTACGAGTACGATTGGAGCAGGTGCGTCCCCGACTGCGACGATCGCTGCCAGGAGAACGGCTTCTGTCTGGCCGGCGGGATCTGTCAATGTTTCGACGACTTTGTGCTGAACTACCGCAACAACTGCGTGCCCACCTGCCCACTGGGCTGTCCCCACGGGCGCTGCTTCCTGAACGGGACCTGCCTCTGCGACAGGGGCTACGAGCTGGATGGCTCGCGACTCTTCTGCCAGCCGCAGTGCAATCAGACCTGTGGCCACAACGAGGTCTGCCTGGAGCCTGGCAAGTGCTCCTGTGCCGAGGGCTACGTCAGGGGTTTGCGGGAGTCGGCGGCCCTGGGCTGTCAACCCATCTGCATTCCCGACTGCGGCTACGGACACTGTGTGGCCCCGAACCAATGCGAGTGCTTTCCCGGCTACCATAAGCGGATCAATGGTACCTCCTGCGAAAACGGTTTCTACAAGTAAGTGTTCCGCAAGCCACTGAATTTTTGGGGAGTGCTAATTGCTATTATAATTTAATATAATTAGCTATGTCCGTTCGAATCTCAGACATTTCAAGGGTTTTTGCACACTTCCATGGTGTCCTTACTTTGCACCCTTAATTGCAATCATTACTCCGGTCTCTCTACTCTACAGAGAGTTACGGAATTCTGGCACGCCCCTTAGTGCATTTTAGTTATAGAACTGATAAATATTTCGCGGTATTTTCATCTCGATTTCCATCACTGAGTTCGATTAGTTGAAGATATGGCTTTAATCAGCACTTTCTGACACTTTCTACTCCCCACACAGGCGGTGCGAGAATGGCTTCCGTGCGAACGAGACCACTTGTGTGTGCCAGAACGGGTTCCGCTACGACAATTATACTGCCAGCTGCCTGCCGGACTGCGGCGACAACTGCGAGAACGGAGTCTGCATCTCTCCGGGCAACTGTCGCTGCTTCAACGGGTACGTGCGGAACCGGGAGAAGTGCGAGGCCGTCTGCGATCGGGGCTGTGGCTTCTATGGCAAGTGCATTGCTCCGAATGTCTGTGGGTGTGCCATAGTGCCCGGACCCGAGACCAGCTATCAGAAGTGTGCGATGGGACTGTGCAGCGCCCTGGGCCGCTGTCGCTGTCTGGAGGGGAAGATGCGGTTCATTGACAAGTGCATGTCGCCGGACACGGTCACCACATATGCCTCGGTGGATCCAACGCGCGCGAACAGCTCCCTAATCCTGGAGTTCGAGCTCCTACTGGGCAGGCACTTCATCCTGGGCGGAGCCGAGCGGTTCCATAATTCGATGTGGTGGCTGTGAGAGGGAGCGCCCCCACATGGACTGATAGCAGTTCATGTTCTCCTCGAAGTCACTCTCTCTTTGCCGTAAACCCACTCTCTCTCACTTTTCAGCCACAAAGAAAATTGAAATAAACAATGAAATATTTCCCAACTATAGCTTATCAGTATCAGTATCAGTATCATACATACATACTTATGTATGTATACATGCATGTGTATTCTGTCGCACCCCCCCTCTATGTGCGACGCCCCTGGTGTATTGTCTATTTTAGAATAATACGAGTAATTATCTATTCATGAACATAGACAATTTCTTTCTCCATACACTTAAAAGCCGAGCCTGACTGAGAAGACAATTTAGTAGCTCGGAGACACTTGCGAGCGCAGCGCTGACGATCATTCCCATTGACGGCCCCATTCACGATTCTAGAGCTGAGCGAAATGCACTTGAAATCCCCACTGGTTGGCCTTCTTATCGTCTGCCTAGCGATTGAGCGGCCCTCGCCCACCGCCGCTCAGTTCTGGCTGAAGCTGCCCGAACAGAACTGGGAGCGTGAGATGCTGGCCACACGAGACTCCGGCGTCTGCTACAGGGAGGAGATGTAGGCCACCCCCAGAGTTCCCAAGACGAGTCTCACATTGATTTTCTTGCAGTGTGGAAACTATCAACCCGAATGCGAGACTCCGACAGATATCCTTCTGCTGCATGGGCTATGTGAACCATGGCAGCCCCCAGAACCTAAAATGCCAGCCCATCTGTACGGAGGACTGTGCGAACGGATTGTGCCTCTCGCCAGGCTACTGTGAGTGTGCTCCGGGCTACTATCGGGAGGAGCGGCGGTGTAAGCGGATGTGAGGCTGGCTGTTCTAGTGCTGCAGAGCAATTAAGACTAGGAAATCCCAATAATCCACTCCAACAATTGTCGAATCTGTTCATCCGTTCCAATGTCCGTACACCCAAAATAAAAACAAGTGCTACTTTTCATAAATATTCTGCATTTCAAAGATCATAACGTGTAGATGCATGCCACGGGAAGACATACATATAAAAATACTCTTATGTATACATATGTATGTATATTCTTGAGAAAACAAGAAAGCGGGCAAAAGCTGTGGTACTTTGAAGAGGCAAGCAAACTGAAAAACGCAGAATAATATGAAATTGGTATGGCTATTAGATCAGTGCTCCGCAAAGTTTGTTTGTTGAAGATACTACTAATAAATAAATAAATAGAAATGTTTATTTACTATTTGTTTATTAAAGTATTAAAGTAGTAAATAAACATTTCTATTCATTTACTAATGCAATCAATATGCTACTAATAATAATAATAATTATCTTCACAAAAACTTGGATTTTTGCCGCGGAGAGAGAGAGAGAGATGTAACCGAATGTACGGTATGGAAACAGCAGTAATATTTTTCATTGGGTGCAAAGAGGATAGACAAAGGGCAGAAATATATTGTAATTATTTTGTTAGTTGAATCATAAGACAGTAGATACATAAATATTCATATTATTTTTGATCGTCTTTGAGCCATAATATTCTAAAAATGTATTAAATTTATGGAGTGTACTTTCCCAAAGTTCCACTCGAAATCAATAATAGTCACTTGTTACTGAATTTCTTCGAACCGCCGCTCAAATGGTTTGAAAATAGCAAAAACAGAAGCCGATACAAATTGTTAATTATAAATATATTTGACCATATAGATAGACATCTGTTCAGCTGCCGAGAGCAAACCTTCAGTCCGGCTGCCCCATTGATACGACCACTGGCGAGGTGCTGATTAGGGGACGGGCAAGGGGTCGCTGGAGGCGATTTGCGACTCACAGACTCAGCTTTCGCAATTGAGCCCGTTTATTGAGAGTCAGTCGATTAGTCGAAGTGCAACACCAGCCGCCGACGGACGTGGGCGCATAAGTGCGTACTTTACAATTGTAGTTCGAGAAAAAAAAGTGACATCACATCACCATGAGGTCATCGTGTCAGATACTCGCCCTGACTCTTCTGCTGGCCATCTGCGCCCTTGGCCAGGCACAGTTCAAGACGGCGGGCATTAAAACGCGTCAGCCGCCCTCGGGTAATCTTCAGCTGTCGGGCAATGCCAGTGAGTACAACCAAAACGGCTACGGGTGGAACAGCCACAACCAGAGCAGCTACGGCTGGAGTGCCCAGAACCAGACCCAAACCCAGACCCAGACCAGCCATGGATGGAGCGATTTCGTCCCTGCCGAGACCTACCAGCCCGCAACCTCGCCGCCCCTGTACGGACACTACGTGCAGCCGGTTGGACCGCCTGGTGACACGGGCCCCACAAGTTCTGGACGAGACGGCACTGTTCATCAACAAAACCCGATCGGCCATGGCCAGCGGTGTCTGCTATAAGGAAGTTCCGTAAGTCGGGGAATAGCTTTTGCAACGAGCAGAACAAACAACTTTAAAATTGAACGTAAAACTAATGATTATCGCTCGATTGGGAAAGAAATCGAAAACAAGGCGAACCATTAAAACAGTGAACTAACGACCTCCACATCCTCCTCTGGCCTGATAATGGAGTGCGCCGCGGCTCACTCTGTGTGCCGGGCAAATAGTACAATATACTCGGATTCCAACGACTTATGTAAGTCGCCAGCCATTCTAGTGATAGGATGCAACGCGATACGAAAGGAATGCAGTCGATTAGCTCCCTCCGAATGCAGCTGTAAATATTCTAGAAAATGCTTAAAAGATGTTTTTTTTCCGGCTAGTCATTTAATAGAAGGACTTTTAACAAACAATTAACTCGAGTTAATCCATGATAACATGAAAATCTCGAGTCAATTGAATATGGAAAGCCTTAGAGGACAATTGCAATAGACCAATGGATATTGCTATATTATTGGGAAAGTTTCTGGGACGCAAGGTAATTGTGAGGAATCGACTTAAAATGTTTCTGAGGCAAACACCACTGACATCGTCAATTGACCCACATCTCCACGAATTTCGGGGGTGATTATTGATGGGAATGGAATGGTTCATTAGCTTATGTTTATTTAAATATAGTCTCTGCTTGTTAGCCATGAATATTTGAGTCCGAGATCCGTTTTTGAATTTACAGCACCGCTTCCCTGCTGCGCAACTCGCGGGAGAAGTTCGTTGGCAATGGCACCACCCCGGACATGAGCAGTGTTGAGGTGTGCTGCGAGGGCTACGAGCGCAACCCGCACATCTATCGGAAATGCGATCCGATATGCGCGGACGACTGCCCAAACGGGATCTGCACGGCGCCCAACACTTGTGTCTGCATTCCTGGCCACGTGCGAACGACCGAGGGGAAGTGCATCTCCACCTGCCCCCTGGGCTGTGGCAACGGAGTGTGCGACGAGCGCAACGAGTGCCGATGCAGAGAGGGCTACGCCCTGGATCCCGTGAGCCGCAAGTACTGCCAGCCGGAGTGCAGGCAGGGCTGTGCCCAAGGACGCTGTGTAGCCCCCAACAAGTGCGAGTGCCTGCAAGGCTATCGCCAGGCGGCCGACGGGAGCTGTGAGCCGGTATGCGACAGTTGCGACAACGGACAGTGCACGGCCCCGGGCCACTGCAGTTGCAAGGCGGGCTACCTCAAGCTACAGGGACGCTGCGAGCCCATCTGCGAGCAGTAAGTAGGAGTGCCCACATCTCCGACCCGATCTAATCTCGTCTATTCTTTCAGACCCTGCAAGAACGGCCGTTGCATTGGCCCCGACTTGTGCGAGTGCGCACACGGCTTCGAGTGGGATCGTAAGACCGCCGAGTGCCTGCCCAAGTGCGACGTGCCCTGCCTCAACGGAGCCTGTGTGGGCAACAACCAATGCGAGTGCAAGCCGGGGTACGTGCTGGACGAGCATCAGCGGTACATTTGCCAGCCTCACTGCCCCCAGGGCTGTCCCAACGGCTTCTGCACCGCCCCCAACTTCTGCATTTGCCGGCCAGGATTCATCAAGAGCGGCATAAAGGGTCGTCAGAGCTGTACGGCTGTCTAGCTGTCTAGTAAGGTGATCACAAGCTTTATTGTGTGGGCTAGCCGAGATTAAAGTGGCGTCCGATCAGGGCACTGAACTCATAGCTAAGTTGCTGGTTGAAGTGCAGCCTTCTTTCATTCGTGGCGAACTGATGGATGAGCTGTGGTGGCTTTAGGCAGCGATCGACGAAGTGCGTCTGTCCATTGGGGCAGCTGCAATGGCCGCTGGCATCGCAGCTGCCATTCAGGCAGTGCTGCTGGGACGGCCGGCAGCCGCAGATATTGGGCTCCAGACACAGTCCGTGGGGGCCACAAGATCTAGAGGGTTACACATACATATAATATACGGACAGGGACAGTTTTCCCAACTAGCCTTACCCATCGCACTTGGGATGACACCCATTGCCTCGGCCCTCGTGTCCCTCAAAACAGCGACACACTCCGGGGGCAATGCACACTCCGTTCCCATGGCCGCAGTCGTCTACGCACTCGGGCAGGCAGCTGGTGGTGTTCAGATCATAGCGATAGCCCTCCCGACATTGGCACTTGTACCTCGACTCGCAGAAGCCATTCTCGCAGTTTCTTTAAGGGAAGGGAAGGGAAGATCAACAATGGAAGCGGCACGATCTAGTGTGTGGTGAGGGTAGATGCGGCGACTTACATGTGACACTCTGCCTCACAGACACTTCGCTGGGGACGCTTGATGAAGCCAGGAAAGCACTCGCACTGGTTGGGAGCAACGCACTTGCCGTACCCACAGTCCGGGGTGCAGATGGGCTGACAGCCCAGCTCGTCGGTGCGACGATAGCCAGGGGAACAGTCGCAAAGTCCTGGAGCGACGCACTCCTCATGAGTGCCGCACGCCTGGGAGCACTGGGGCCGACAGTAGAGGCGCGTTTCCCGGTCCAGGGCGTAGCCTGGATGGCAGGCACATGTCCCGTTCAGGTAGCACCTGCCATTCTGGCAGGATATGGGGCAGGTGTGGATGCAGGCACCGTGCGCGTTGCGCACGAACTCTGCAAAGCATTCGCATCGACCCGGAGCCCGGCAGAAGCCGTTGAAACAGTTGTCCGGCGAACTCTGCGAACAGTCTGGCACGCATCTGCCGGAGTAGGGATCGCGCCTGTAGCCCAGGCAGCAGACCTCAATGCGATTGTAGAAGATGGTGGAGCCATTGCCTCGATGGGGTGAACTCCTCCGTGTCTGGAAGAAGACAACGCTGCAAGTGAGGGATGTAGGATGGAGTTCCATTCGAAATAAACGGGCCTCGAGTACTTACGGCACCTCGCGCTGGCAGAGATGCTGCTGGCGCTCTCGGGTAAGACTCAGCGATTCCATATCGCTCGGTATGTGTATGTCGCCGAAAAGCTGCGGTGGCTCTTCCTCTGGCATGGCCCCAATCATCGCCAGCATCGCCAGCCCCGCGACCACCGTCAGCCGAGCCGTCCCCACAGACGACAATGAATTTCCATTCGAGTGCATGACGACCAGCTGTTTAAAGCTATAGATTCGTGGAGCGAATGATCGACTGGCATGGGAATCGAATATGCGATATTGTACTACGGGCATAGCGCCGCCTTATCATCGTGCGCGCTCTCCGGAAGAGCAAACCTCAAAAGCTCGAAACAAAATGTGTGCTTTGCGCTGTTCTTATATTGTTGTTATTATTATTCGTATTTGCTTGGTTTGGTGGTGCCCTGAAGCTAGTCTCTTGGGCATTTTCGGATACACTCGTATTAGTCATTAAAAAATGTACACAACTTAACAGTTATACTGCCAGCAGTTGAGTTCGCACTGCCCGAGTCTTATCGGTAGAGTAATCCGTAGAGAAAATACGAGCGGATGCGGCATTCGCTGTGCCGAAACAAATTCAAACTTTGCAGTTTTACTAGCACACTCGGCGGATACACAACTTGTATTTCAATTAAATAAATCACTAAAAATGAAATTGTGCAGGCTCTCCTTGTGGTTCGGTGCGATTTCGCTGATATTTCTAAACATAGCGCTGGAGCTGAACGCCAACACCATAGACACGGAATCTACAACCAAGGAAGAGGGCGAGGTGTCCCTGGAATCTTCAAGCAGCACAGAAGGGCTCACCAAAGACACCACCGAGGAGCTCCAAACAGATTATTCGACCACGACGAAAAAATACGAGGAACACAAGCAATATTTGGATGCAGAAAGAGAAGATAACATTAAAACTCCTGTGAATAACAATGAAACTCCTGTTAAAACCAATCCCGGAAAGGCAATGTCAACACCCGCAATAGCTGCATTAATTGTCCTCGTTGTGGGCATCGCCATCTTTGCTGGTTATTTGCGACACAAATATAATCATCGCACTTCCTACAACTTGTAGGCAAGTTATAGCAGTCACTTCCTGTGTAATACAAAAATAAATCAAGCGCCATGGGCGACTCCATTTGTGGTACGTGCTCCACAGCTAATGAAATAAGCAGTCACGCCAGGGGTCTTCTATAAATTATAGTACATATATGTATGTATATTCAAAGTGTCGTACATACTCGTGCATATTAAATCATAGGCATAATTGTAGATGAGAGAATGAGCAGGCAATGGAATTATTCGAGTCGAGTAGAGCTACAAGCTAGATATGGTGTGGTTATTATCCTGGTGTGCCCTGCTGTCCTGCTGCCGCCTTACAGGTGAGCTATCCGCTTGGCTGTGATGGGTGCGGGCACCTGCAGGAAGTTGGAGTTTTGGGGCGGAATTATCAAGTGGCTGACGTGGTGCGGTCGATGGTGGGTGTGATGGTGGTGAGTGCTGGTGGAATGGTCGTTGACTGCCATCGCAGACGTTTGGGCCGGCAAGTAGGCCGCTGCAGTTGTGGCGTGCTGAAAGTTCTGTGGATGACCTCGGCTCGGCGGATGCGGATGCGGATGCTGGTGATGATGCTGATGAAGATTATGCTGCTGCTGCTGCTGCTGCTGATGATAGCGTATCTCGTCATAGAGATGCGAGTCCAGACTGCCCTTGCGCGACTTGGGCGTGACGATGGAGTAGAGAGATTCTTTCCTAGCGTAGGCGTAGGGCGCTGTTTTTATCGACGAGTTATTGCTGGGCGTGTCATATAATTCCGCAGGCGCTGCAAGACATTCAAATAGTTAATTGTAGCTAGTTAAAAGGGGACGGTTGTGGTGTTGCGTGGAAAGTGGACTGAGCTGGGGCTTGCTCTCTTTGATACACATCTTTAAGGACCTTTCGAACGGCCCTCGTACCAGGTCGGTAGAGACACTTACATACCATCGTTCGTATGGGCTCTTTTCGCAGAGACAACTGGGGGCTCGGGCAGCGGCTCGTGGAAGTTCTTGCCCAGGGCGACAGCTTCGGTGAGCACCACCTCCGGATTGGAGGGCTGTGTGGCCACAGTGCCATTGGCATTGTAGACGGTCGCCTCCTTGCGGTGGTAGCGGCGGTAGACGTACAAGGAGCCGACAGCTATCGCAATGAGCAGGAGCAGCATGATGCCGATCAATGTGGCCACCAGGCCCGATTGCTGGTCGCTCGCACTCTGGCTGATGTTCCCCTCGCCAGCGATGAAGCCGGCCAAGTGCTCCTGTGGGGACGTGACGCCGTTGGTGATGACATGAATGACCTCGGGCGCCGGGACGCCAGCAGCTGCAGCCGAGTGGAGATTCTCAAGAAGATCACTGCTCGACTGATGCAAAATAATCTTGGGTGTGAGCTGGCCAGGGTTCTGGGAGGGCGACTGCTTGATCACTATGACGTCGGGCAGGGGACTGGGCGTGACTGGCCGTGGTATAATGCCCATTTTCTCCAGCGTGGAGTTTACTGTCTCCACGATAACGTGGCTCACATTCAGCTCCAGCGGACGCTCCTGCACTATGCAGGCTCCGGTCTGGTGGTGGCAGGGCTTCTCATCGCAGTCACAAGCCTTGCGGCACATAATGCCATGGGTTCCCGGCGGACACGTCTGCTCGCAGCTGAAATATCGGATTGCTTGCGTGATTTGTATTGGGTGTGGGTGCAATGGCGGGGGACACCTACAATTGACCTGTCCAACCGGCGATGCAGTGGCAGATGCCCGACTTGTTGTCGCAGGCCGCCCCATTCTGGCACTGGCAGAGGTTCTTGCAGTCGAGGCCCCAGCGATCGTGGTCGCAGCCTTCAGCGAGATCCCCAATGCAAGAATGTTGGGTACATAAATATGTATGTATGTATATGTACGTATGCACTTCTACTCACGCTGCGTGCAGTGCTTTCCGATGTAGCCCTCCTCGCAGCTGCAGGATTCGGGCATCACACAGCTTCCACGCCCACAGCCGCCTCTGCAGATGGGCTTGCATGTTGCCTGGCTATCGGACAGGTTTCCCTCGTAGCCCTGGCAGCAGAACCGAACCGTTCGCGTCTTGTTCAATTTCTGTTACACATACAATAAAATGGCATTAGTTTCAGTGCAGTAAATCTTGTATAAGTTAAAGTCAATTCTTGGTCATAGTTCAGCATGGATGCCCCGCCTTTAAATTTTAAATTAATATTCTAAATATAAGAAACTCATAAAATAAAGACTGCACATACTCGTGATTCAGGGTACTGCAAAATGCTCTGCACTTGAGCACAGCCCAAAAGTATGCCTTGAAAAAACCCAAAAAGTAGCACATAAAATTATGTGAGCTTTGAGATTGGTGTCGGGTGTGGCCCCCAAATCTTCTCTTTGATCTCGGACGCTGGGCGGGAGATTAATTGGATAAACTCGGGAAGAGCTTTCCATCATCTCTGGCAGTGCCTCGGCGACACTTCCCGCTTGTGGACTTTGACACAGCTCTTTTACAGCACGAAGTGAAGACTATTATTGTAGGTCCCCCGTCCCCCAGCAAAGGGCACTGCCCCGCCCACACAATTCCCCACGAGCACACTCGAATACCCCTTGGTTGCCAATTTAAGTGAATAACTGAATGCCAGCCAAGCTTCTCACACTCATTCCCGGAGAGCGCAAGTACAAGTCCCAAAGTCCCAGTTCGTTTCCCTACTTACGCATTGTTCGCCAGATTGCTGATGGATCCATCACATACTACATATATGCATATGTACATTATTCTGTACATATGTATGTGTGTATCTGTGGGGCCGCCATAAATGAGTAAGGCGGAAATTTTAATATAAACAGTGAAATTCGATTCGAGTTTTGTCTCTGATTCATTGTGTCTGCATAATTATGGCTGGCTTTTCAAATGCAATGCTCCTCGCATCTGGTAATTGAATCTGAGTTGAGCAATTTTTACATGTGCCACTCGAATAACCGCATGAAGCATCGCACATCACGCACCACCCACCACCCACTTCTCTCCTCTGCTTGTGGTGGTGCTGGTGGTTGGGTGCCCATCAATCAGTCGCAGCGACATTTTCTCTTTACATAATTGAAGTTGGAAAATCTGCTGAAAATCTTTCGGCACTTTGAGGCTTAAGTTACAGCGAGCTTGCAGATCAGATCAAACTAGTTTGCCCACTCGGAGGCAGACACTTCTTTGCGCGTCCATGTTCATGTTAATTAATTAGACGAAATTGGCGAATTAGCAGCAGCATTTTCTGTCCAAAATCGTGCGAAGTGTTGGCCAAGAAATGTCTCAGCCAAGTTGGGGGGAATGGGTAGGTGCCTGGAAAAGCCTTTGCAGGGTGAGAAACCCGTTGGCATCTGCTTAGGTCCAGAAAAATGCCAACGGATCAACCCCCAGCACCTCATACTCGGACAAAATGCTCGATTCCAATTAAAATAATTATGAAATTGATTTGGGGCAAGCAACAAGCCGATCTCGACTTGCACAAATCATTAGACACGAAACCGAACAAAATAAACCAAGCCAAAACTGGCTGCGTCTTGTCACACCGATGGCGATGGCGATGGCGATGCAGTTTCGAAGCAACTCTGATTCGTGATGCAATCGAAAGTGTGTCAACAGCTTTGGCATCAACTCACCTCGCGTCAGGCCCCCGTACACTCAAGTGGAGCTCTTAATGCTGCTGATCAGTCCGACAGGCTGCCTTCCCGCCTAGCATTGCTCGTACTCGTACTCGTACTCCAGCCCGGCCATAAACGCTGGATTTTCCGCTTTTCATTTGCACTTTCCATCACTGACACCATGACATAATTATTTCTGTTTACCCCCGGCCAACCACCCGACGAAAAAAATGGCAAATATTGTACGAGTAAACACGAGTAAGCAAAAAAGAAAAAGAAAAAACCAGCTGAGCCTGATTAGGTGCCTCCGTTCAGGCAACTGCAACCGGATTCTAGCCATGCTTCGACAACACTTGGCCGCTGTTGTTTTTCTCGGTTTTCCACACTGCGCAGTTGGATACGAGTACAAATACAGACCGACCGAGGGTATTACGACTATTAAGTTACATTTGTTCAGAAGGAACATGTGGATATGCAATGCGGTGAAGCTTCACTCGACTATTTCTTCTCGTAGGAGTATGAGGACCGAAGTCATGGACAAAATGGGTAACAGAAATGGAAGGAAGGATTTATGAATCATTATTAATTAACTACAAAATATCAGATTAAGAACGCGCAAAAGTGTCTTAATAACTCAAATGCGGTAGTTCTGAAGTCCCCTGCGACGCAGTTTCGCAAAATTGAAAACTTAAAGAAGAGTAGCTCCATGTTCATCCGTTCTGCTTCCAGGCTATCGTGAGAATTACGTACACGTCGCAGGTGCACAATGGTTCATAGAAGTTTAGCAGCCAAGGACACGCACTGCCAGAACCCAAAGACTCTCGGGTCAAAACCGGTCGCCTGCATCTGAGTCAAATTGAGTATTCGCTCAGCGGGGCAAGAGCCACTCAATCTCGACTTCCGTTCTGCATATCAGACATAGAGGAAATTCTGCAGCAGCTTAAAGAGCTTGCGCAACGAGTTTTCCACCGACAGAACCCATAAAAAAAAATTTTTTTAAATTTAAAAAAAAACGAAATATATGAGCAAAGTAATCAAAGTCGGCCATCGAATCGGGCCAATTTATGGATATCGTGGAGAGCGGCTTCCTGGTTGGGCAAAACTGAATCAGGTTTGCGGAGCAGGCGCCGCCACATGGGGGAAAAAGTGGCCACTGCGAAGGTGTTGCCACTGGGTGGGATGATGCAACAGGCTCCCGCAAAGGCAGAGCCGGCAGTGGAACACCTGCGCCACATCGAACATTTGGCCAGCCACTGCGACTCACCTGAACCTTCATCACTTCGCGCATTTCCGTCTTATATGTGGAGCAGCGCGGAGGAATCTCCATGCACCAGCTGGAGGTGCGCACGCGCACCGGCTGCATCTCCGGAACCTGGATGTGCTCCACGTACGGCTCCTCGCGTATGCAAATATTACCGGGTCCCTGGATAGACGGCAGGGCAATGGCCGTTGCATCAATCTCCTTCACATTCGTGTTTATCCTCAAGCTGCTATTCTGCGTGGATCCACAGTGGAGAAAAACTGCGAGCAGCAGGAACAGCTGCTGCTTGAATCCGTTTCGCGTCATACTTATTTTATATTTTTATTTTCGACTAAGGTGGATTTTGTGTTGAGTTCACTTCATTATTTCCGGCTTCTTTGAGGGCTTTAAGGATTGTGTACCTATAAACAATGTTTTATGATTGCATCTCACTTAAAACCATTTAATTTCCAAGTATTTTATTTGAATTTTAATTGGAAGTTATGGGTACAGTACCAGTAATTTCTCTTCACTTTTAGATTCAATTCTTGAGTACCAAAATTTAAGCTTTAAGGTAAACACTATTTGCCGTTTATTTTGTGGAGTGGCATTATCTGATAGTGGAAAGGCTCTTCTTCCATTCACAACTGAGCTGTGTCCGCTTGATTTGAATTGCGTGTACGCTTGGAACGCGACTCTCCGTAAAACTGTTTCCCCGTTGGCAGTGATTCCATTGCTCGCCCGAATGTTCCTTCTCCAAAACGAAAAAAAAAACCGAACAAATAATACAAAAACAGTTGTCATTGCAAATTGTCGTCGGGCTAATGAAGGCCGCGTCGAGTGCGAGGGGACTTGAGATCGGAGAGCGGAAGTACGCACTGCACAGTAAATTCTACAAAACGAAAGTGAAATCTGAGGCACAGCCCCTCACACACTCACACACACACACAGACAACCACAGACAACCCCTCTCCCAGTCAGAGGCGGAAAAGTCTCCAATGCAAGTGAATGAAACTCAACTCCCCAAAGCGATCGAGTCTCCCAGCCCCGGGTCGAGGGAATGGTGATGATTGCATCTAATTGAAATGTTGATCATGTCCTTAACGTGCGGCTGTCATTGCATGGCAAAAACTTGTCTCCGGCTGCTGCTGTTGTTGTCACATTTATGTTATGCTCAGATTTGCGCTTTTGGTTTTTGCCTAAACTGGGGGAGTTGCCTGAATAAAAGAACCTACCCTCAACCAACGTGGGAAAGTAGCATTAGCTAATTGAAATGCGATAGAGGAGAGAAAGGAAGAAGAAATATCGTAAAAGCAGATGAAATTACTATACTATATATACATTTTTTTTTTATAATTTGTGTAACAATATTAATCATCATTCCATAATGTTTAACATTATACATTCATATGCTCATTTTTCTCTGTAAGCAACTTAAAGAGGCAGGCTCCGGTTTCACATTCACTTTGCGTTTTACTTTTCAGCAAAAAGTCATACTTTTCATTTCAAGGCGCTCTGGATTCCACTTTTGTGAATTTGTTTAATCTTTGTATTGTTAAGCGCAAAATTTACTGCTGTTATACCCACGCGCTAGTGCCAGCTCATACAAACAGTCCTCTCTTATGTTTAACAGAGATTTATCGATAGCCAACTCGGGCTGTCACAGCTGTTAAGATGAATTTACTTTTTGTTTTTGCCCGAACCAATTTTTCCTCGATCTAATTTTGAGGTTGGTTAAAATAAAATTTATTTATAAAAAGGCCACAAGCTCAATTGGACTGGTAATGGTGTCAAATTCATGTCAATGCATCCTTAAGTCATCTGTTTTTTCCCTTTTGCATTTAAGATTTGTTTTGTTGTATAAAAAGCCGTTTACTTTTAATTTCGGAGAAGAATTTGTTGCCGTTTTGAAAACAGAAAAGTCTCGCGTTTTACGAGTGCGGGAGCGCCTGACTTTTCGTTTTGAAAAATAAATCACTTTTTTTTTGTGAAAGTTAAAGCCGGAGCCTGCCTGAAAGACTTTTTCATAACATCGTGAAAATATTCATATTTTTCCCATCACACCTACTTCAGTATCTGCATTCTGCTTCAACGATTCTAGAGAACTTTTCTTATTTATCACAGCCCCATCAACGACTTCTGTATTTAAGTTGATTGGGAGTCCACTCGAGTCCATCTGCAGCTCCATTCTATCCACTTAGCTAGAGTGTCTTTTTTCTTAGATAAACTTTAGAACAATGACACTGAGCGGTCCGCCCACCGGCTGTCCATCCCCCCCCGACCAACCCACACAAGTGTTGATTGTCTTGTTTACACTGAGGTTGTTGCAGTTGTTGACTGCAATTTATTAAATCAAATTTACAAATAGCAGAAAACCAGTTGGATACTGAAACGGAGTCAGAGTCAGGGGCTGGGGATGGGGCTGGGGAAGCAGCTGCAGCAGAAACAAAAGAGAAACTATAAAATTGCAGCAGCTCCGAGAGTTTATTTATTTTATTTGATTAAATTGTAAAACAACAGCGGCAGCGGCAGCAGCAGCAGCAGCAGCAGCAGCAGCAGACCCACCAAATGAGTGAGCAATGTGCGTGCGACGACAGAGTTCCAATGACCCGCATGGAGTCCGCATGCACTCACCATAATCCATCCCATGCCCAGCCAAACCCCCTGTGGTACTGGTTTTTTGTGCGTAATATCCATACATCGTGAGGGCATATTGGGCAGTTGGTTGCCCCTGTCGAAAGGCCAAAAAATCATTTAATTTTTGTACGATATATGTACATACAATTCCATACATACATATATCGTCTGGTGAGAGATTCTATTTAAGCATTTAATTTAGAAGCAATAAAGATGCTGAATCTGGCCATTAAAAAAATAATCGCTGAATACACTTAAATTAAATATATTCTGTGAATAAATGTGAATAGGCATTAAGAGAATCAATTGAAATGCCTCCTCCAAGACAAGATCCCAATCATATGCTGATCTGCGGACTACTGGGTGTCTCCTGTTCGATCAGTCTAGAGTTGTGCATTCTCAATGTTAATTTTTTGTTCGGTTGCAGTGTTTAGGGTGCCGCCGGTCTGGCAATTTGTCAGATTTGCGTTTTATTTTTTTTTTTTGCTTTTATTTTAGAATTATGTATTTTTTTGGCATTGATTCAAGTTCAACTTGGTTATGGACATAGCTGTAGCTATAGGTGCGACTTGAATAGGCGGAAGTTGTGAGTGTATAAGTACAACATTTTGTTTGACTGCTAGTTAACATTATCTCAACATATATACATATGTACATATGTAGGTGTGTTTCCAACTTTCTAGAAATCTAACTTAAACGTAGGCTTAAACAGGAGCAGATCATGAGGATCAGAATGCTCAGGGTTGATCCCTGATTGGCCCCGTTGTAGTAACCTCCATAGACCTGGAGACCAGCAGTTTCAATGCTTCTCTTGCAGTAGTCTCCATCGTAGTTCCAGCCAACGTATTCATTTGTGCGCAGGTTCTCCAGGCGCAGCCATTCCTCGAGCGGAGCAAAGTATTCCCGCAGGGCGCTGCCGTCCAAGCGTCCCTCCTGCAGGGTCTCCTCAAGCACCTCTTGCCAGGGCTGGGAGGCGCCTTTGGCCATTAGTTTTCTGTTTTTGAAAAATTGCGAGAAATTTCGGTAATTACAAATACGGTCGGGAATGGTTCAGATGTGTTCAGATAAGTAGGTCAATATACTACAATACACATATAGTGGTTCCAAAAGCTTGGAAATTTATAAGCCATAGGCTTTTTTCTATTGATAAACATTTCGCGGAAAATTAAATATTCTATTGCAGCACTTTTAGACTGAAAGCGAGACTTACTTGAGCATATTGCCAGCCGCTGGTTGGCGGTAAATGTCGCATTTGTGCAGCGGCTTCCTGGTATCGCCGGGAACATACTGGCCCGCCTCGCGGCACATGGCCCTGTAGAGCTGGAACTGCAGCACCGTGGAGAAAAAGTATCTGCAATGGGACGGAAACATGACTTTAGTATGATTAATATGAGAACGGGCTTTAGAACGGCCGCGGTCACGCTTCTTGGCCTGTGTAAGATTTGTCAATTGTTGCGAGGGAGAGTTGTGAATAGATTCGGTCACAGTTTATGTTGTTGCTGTTGCTGTTGATGTTGGTGGTGGTGGTGCCAAGTTGTTGTCGAGTTTGCTGCTCGTTGTGCATTCTGGCTCAAGGTCGAGCTCCAGTTAAAGCCTTAAACCGAGCAGCCACAGCAGCCACAGCAGCCATAGCAGCAGCGGCGGCGGACGGACAAGCCGTTTGGTTTCTTGGAGTTTTGAAATCAGGCAAAAGTGAACATTTGTGGTCTTGTAATTGCCGTTTGCTCTATGCTCATTTAATCGCACTTATGTTTATAACATTTTTACTTCATTTTTATGACGGCTGCGCAATCAAGTAGCAATTATTCAAAGCCATTCCGATTCTGTTTTCGCCGCGCCGTGCGGACTTCGCTTGAAATGTTAATTTAGCCATTGAATTTTATGTTTATAGAAACTGTTGGTGTTTTTTTGTCGATTCATTCTGAATTGATTTATATTCATTATGCAATATTTTTGAAGATTTTCGGGGATTTTTTAGCATTTCTATATTTAGTTTGGCTTAAGAACAAGTTCAACTACTGGTTGCCTCTTGGTTTCTTCTTAAAAGAAACTAGAAGAGCCGAACTCTAGTTGGAATGGCCTTCGCCTTAGGGGGTTCCCCATTTTTAAAGCAATGCCAGTATTGATCGTGTCGAGGCGTTGAGCCCAGCCCTCTGCCCATTCGTCTCCCATCTCCCTCACTTCACACATTCACTGTTCCCCGATGAGAGAATGTTGCAAGCACAGCCGCAAAAAAGGCATTTTTATGCCCACTTTTCACAATGTTCGATCACGGCTGCAGACTCCCAGGCTTGGAACCAACGTGCCACAGCTCCATTAAGTGCATCAGCAGCAGCAGCAGCAGCGGCTTGGTCTGGTGGCGGTGTGTTATGTTTTTGGCACTTGGCAGCAGTTGCCACATAGCCACATCGTCGCCACATTTTCCCAGAGACGCGACATGACCCAATAACAGGGATTAGGCAGCTGCCTCGTCGACTCCAGTGGATGTGTTCGTGTGTGCTTGTCGCCCGACGGTTGCCATTCATTCAATCATTCAATCAGACACTCGGGCAGTCTCTGACGGGGTTAGCAGTCTTGGTCCAGTCAATCAGAGCCAACATTGTCGGCAATTAGTCCAATTTTTGTTGCTGCTGCTTTGTGCTAAAATTAAATGTTGCGAAAATTCTTTTCAACCTCTCGGACATGGAACATGTGTTCGACGATCGAGCGACCCAAAGCCAGACCCAAAGCCAGAGCCAGACTTCAACAAGAAATATGCGAAAATCTTTAATTTTCCGAAGCCACAAAGCGACTGCAATTATTCAGCTGAAATGTGCCTGCTTCTGCTGCTGCGGGGCGTATGAACGAGCGTATGTCGTTTATGAGATAGCCACTAATGATCGGTTTTCGGCTCTGTTTGGATTTTTTTCAGAGCCATTCATTTGCCAATTGCTGAATTGGATGGCTAAGCCATCGAAGATTATTTTCCTGTAAACAGGCAAGTGATTGGAATTGACATTTCTGGTTATTTCGGTTTAAGTTGAGCCGCCAATCCAAAGTCTTGCGCACCAAACCTATGGCACAATGCGGCTGAGAATC